CAAGTATTGTGTTAGACTGCTTTAAAGTCTCACAACAACTCATTTCTATTGCACAGATATGGAAAATGAAACTCAGGTTGGTTCAGTGTCACACAGCTAGCAAGTGGTAGTCGAGTCAAACCAGGTCTTTCTTCACCATCCAAGCTTTTTTTTCATTACCACCTTTCTTGCCTGAATCCTTTGCATTTAAATGGTGGTATGATTAAAGTAATTAAAACTTGAAATGTTAGCTGGAATAAACTTCTATAAAGTAGTTCTTTAAAAGAAACTAGTTAAGGCTAGTGAAAATAGTTCATAGAAAGTATAGAATATGATTTAGATGAAAACCAGGAATTTGATCTTTCTTGCTGCTATTTGCCCTCTCTCCAGCTCTTTTTCTTTATTGCGGGAGGGCCTTAGCTTTCTAAAATAGAGCTGTGAACAGGAAGGCATAGTGGGATTTTATACTCCGTAGGTAAGCACAATTGCAAACATTCCTGTGGAATGGGTCAAAGTGATCCGGGATAATGTACCAGGCACAAGGTAGGTACCCTACCCTCTTTAAAGGACCGTACTGACATACTCATGATCACTATATTTAAATACAGATATCTTCATTTCTTGTTGAACTTGGCAATTTAAGAAATTAGAAGTATAGTGAAGTGGACTTTACCCTTTTCTTCTCCCCAATTTTAACAGTGCTTCTTTGCAAATGCCTAGCTGAATGTAAACAGGATTTTTCATGCAGCAAACACTTTGAATGTTTCCTTTAGTGATAGATATTCCAGCCTAGGGCGGACAATATTTTGAAGTTAGTGGATTTTGTCTCCATTTTCTTTTTATATGTTTTATATCCTCAGTTGGCACTTCTTAGGCACAAGGTTCTGGTAGTATCTGGTCTCAGTTATTGATACTTATTGATTGATAGCTAATTATATTTTGAACTAATTTATAATAAAATGTTTGCACAGCTAGCCCGTGTACTTTTGTTACATTATAAATGTAAATAATACAAATTTATTGTAGGAAAATAGAAAACATAGATAAATGAAAATAAAAATCATCCATAATCCTTCTACCTAGAGATAACATCTTTTAACATTTGTATGTCTTAAATTCCAGTCTTTTTTTAATATATAGAAACTTAAAAACTATGGTGTCATGCTGTGTAATATGCTTTATAATTTGCCTTTCACTTAATAAATTATGAATCTTTTACCATGTTAATATTCTATACCACTTTTAATGATTCAACAGAATTCTTCTGTATTGTTATATTACTTGATTTTTAATCAGTACCCTTTTGTTGTACATTTATGTTAGTCTCAACCTTTTAATGTTATAAATAACATTGAGATGAACATTTGTGTAGGCAAATCTCAACTTATACTCTTATTTACTTACTTAGAATAAATTAGTAGAAATACAATTAGTGAATTAATGTGTATATATTTTAAAAAATCCTTTTGTGTGTATTACCAAGTTGCCCTTCACAAGGATTATGTCAGTTTATGCTGCTGTCAGCAGTACCTGAGACTCAATACCCCGTCTCCGTTCCCTCTCACCTCTTCTTAACTAGATGGTGGGACCTCTGGTTTCCTTGGCTAAACGTGAGCTTCCTAGACTTTACTAAATGGAACAGTGAGTACAAAAGTCACACATGGATAAGACTTCTTCAGCCTCTGACACACTGTATTTCCTTAAATCCTGGATGGGAATGTACCTCCTCTCTGCCCTGACATCTTACAGCTGGGCTCAGGGTGGGAAGGCAGTGTTCCTACCAGGTCTCTTGTTAGATTTTTTTTTCTGTGGATCACCCTAGTTGCATCTGTATAACAGGTGGTGCTCTGAACTGTTTCTCTGTTAGAGAGGGATGACTTTCTCCTAGTTATTAGCTTTTTAAGATGATCAGACTCCTGAACTCTTTGACAATATATAATTCTTTTTTCACTTTCTTGCATCACATCTGAGCACAGTACTCTTGTTTGTGTTGCTATAGCTATGGTCAACTGGTAAGATTCTGGTTAGCTAGCTTACAGCTGGATAGAGCTTTCTGAATTTCAGCTCTTGTTAGCAAAATCTAAGGAGAGGTATATGGTGTAGAGTGATGCAAATGTCATCATTCTTGGGGCATTAGGACATTTTCCAGGAATTCTGCATGCTGGTTTCATTGATTCCTTTGCTCTGGTTTTAAGAACCATATGATTGTTTTGTACTGTCCCCAGCAATATGAGCAGCCCAGACTGCTATAAATGTACAGGCTTGCAGCTTCCTGTCTTTGAATTGTGACTACCACTTGATAGCTTTGTGATCTAAGAATATTTCTTAACTTATTTATTTAACCTTCCCTTTCTTCAACCATAAAATGCAAAGACTAATAACAGTTTTTTAAAAAAATCTGTTGTGAAGATGAAAAAGATATTCCCTTTTTCGTAGCTTAGCATGCCTGACACGTAGAAAGTGCTTAGTTAATATTAACTGAAATGGGTATCATAATAGTTTCACCCCTTGAAGTTGTCGATTGTTAGTGATATTTTCAGTGGTTCTAGGTTTGTAAATCTCAACTCTCTGGAATACTAGTGCAGAACTTAATTTGAATCAGAAATCTCTTGGTCTGAGTAGATGCTGGTGGGAAACCCATACATCAAAGTGTTTCTTTAATTATGACCACTTGGTTATTGATGCCCTCAGATGCAGAGTAACATATAAACCTAGATATAATGGTTTTCTGCCACTGATTCTGAGAATAGAAAGTTTCTGCATTATAACTTCAGAGTCTTGTTACACCTGTTTCTGGGGGGAACACCTACAGAGTAAACAGGTAACTCTTGGCGTGAGGCTTCTTTCATAGCATAACTTCATTTTGTTATTGTAGTAAAATAATACGAGTGGTGAGGATGGGAAGGTACAGTATAGGCAAGTGAATACAGCAGAGAGCCGTAGGCGGCACCCCAGGAATGATAGTACCTACTTATCTCCAAGGGTTGTTGTGAGAATTAAATGAGAACTGTTGTAATTATTTTTAATTTTTCACTACTATAATAGCTTTATGAACATTTATATAAAATGTTATCCCTTTATCAGGTTATTTCCTGAGCTTTTTATTTATAGCTTTTTATAAATATTGGATTATATTTTGTGGAGATCTTTACCACATAAATTCTCACAAGAAATTATTAAAATATTTACACTCGTGGGTGCTTACAGATATAGGCTTGTGTGTCTGGGAAAATTATAAAGTAAAAGTACTTGCATTTGATTTTTACTGAGAATACGAATACCTCGTTTTTGGGTTTTGCTTTTAGTACCCAGAGAGAGTTATTAAACAACTAGACCTGTGTTGTCCAGTACACATGTCTATAAACAATGAAATTAAAGTTAAAAAATAATTTTAGTTCTTCAGTTGTTCTTTTCCTCATTAGCTTCATGTGGCTAGTGACTATCATATTGGACAGCACATATATAGGACATTTCTGTCATAGCAGAAAATTTTATTGAATAGCACCAAACTAGAGTATGTGAGAAAATTAAATGACCAAGTGTTTTATTTAAATAGGAAGCATTATCAAAAAGTCTAAAGTACTTGCTCCTAAGATTACTTACCTTATTTATTATGCTTCTACAGTATTTGTAAATATTGCAATGAATGTTGTAATTTTAGCTGCACATTTAATATCTACTTTCATATTTCTAAAATATGTTTTTTTATTTTTATAAATAAATAAAATCAAATTTCAATGTCTCTTTGCTTTTATTTCTCATATCCTGATGTTGTATAGAAGTTTCCATTATTTTTTCAATGTTTAAAGATTTGGTTCTATTCTTTTGCCACGGCTTTATGACCTAAAATAATAATATTGATACTAAATAATTTTGATAATCTTCAATATGAAAAGTATGATTGTGATTAAGTTGTGTATTAATAAGAAGTTTTAAAACAAAGAACATACATATTCCATCTTTTTAATTATAGGCCTTTGGAAATTTTGAATAACGAGAAGCTTTACATTACTCCTTTTATTATGTAACAAACTCTTTCTTAAGGATTTGTTTAGAGAATTGTGATTAATGAACTTTATAATTCTCTTATTAAAATGTCATAATGTTTAATTTCTTTTTAATCCTAGGAAGCTCTACAAAGAATCATTTCAACTCTGGCAAATAAAAATGATGAAATTCAGAACTTTATTGATACACTAAATCAAACACTAAAAGGAGTTCAGGTATGAATTTTTTTTTAAAAGTTTGTAAATATGTCACAGCGAATGATTGTTGGACCAAATCAGAAATATAAATACACACCATCAACTCTAGATTATAAACTAATGGAGCACAGGAATTTTAAATGGCAGACAAATAAAAATGCCTTCTTTGCTATTCCTGCATTTTCCAAGGAAAGATCAATTGTAAGGGAAAAAGACAACTCTGGAGTAATAGTTACTAGGGAATATTATAGTGCTCACTTTTGTTCTTTTCCATTTTATTTTTGTCTTTTCTAATTCTAATTAAGAGCAAGTCATACTTTTTCAAATGTACTGGAGAGCTAAGCATTTCTTTTATAGTAAATAGTGGAAGAAAAATGTAGATGATAAGAGGTCTGCTTGTAGAACTAGATGAAAGTAAAACATAGAAGTAGAAGGTAAAGTGCTCAATGAGGAGAGAGAAGAATGCTTAAGGAAATGGTTCCAGGTTTGGGGAGATAATCCATACTATAAACAATCAAATGTTAGTGGTGGAAAGTACCTTAAAATAATCTGGTGATGCTTCCCCATGAATGCGCCTTAATGAATTTAAGGGTAATTTCTTTTTAAAATAAGCATAGATTTGTAGGACACTTATAGACATAGAGTCTTTTCCTGTAGTTTTTGTTTTAACCTAAGTAATTGCCTGGTTCTTGATCTGTTAAACCTTATTTTCACTGCCTTTCCTTTACTTCTGAATTTACCGTAATTGAAGATAGTTGATTATGATCTTCACCACTTTAACTGCCTTTCTTGAACTACTTTATGGAAAATTTGGCGAATTCACAAATCCACTTTAAGTGAATAAAGCTAGTGGTTCAAAAATTCTTGATATATGGTAAGATAATCATCTGAAAAAAGAGACCATAGATATAGTTAGCCCAAAATATTTTTCCAATTAACAAATTAATAGAACTCTACCTTGGAATTCAGAGGAAAAAATAGAGGAATTAAGCCACGCTCATCCCTGAAGACGGGAGAGGTGGGGGGCGGTGCACATAAAAGACTGTAAGAATGTGCCAGTTGGTTGTTGAGGGGAAAAGACTAGTTCATTTCCTTTTGGTTAAATAAACCGAGGTCTAGGAGTTGAAGCGGCTTACTGAGTGGTTAATGTGGAATTCGATTTAGGTCTTTTGCCTTCCAGACTGCATACTTCTTCCACAGCTTGTTCTTACCACTGTAAATAAACTAATAAAATGATTAACACTACTTTTGGTAAGACTCCAGTGAGACAGTGTCTGTTTTTTATAAGTATTATAAGCAAAAGTTTGGATTAGGATAGGTTATATGAGTTCTTTTAGCCAGTGTCAATTTGTTTCTCATAACTGAATGATTCATTTAAGGTAAAAAAATGCCTTAAAATAACGTCTTTTATTTCATAATTGTTGCAGTTGTGCATATGGCCTATCTAGGGATTTCCCAGGTATATTAAATTATTTCTTGATGAAAGAATAGCATCTTGCTTAATGAAGCAGTGAGGAACTCTGGAAAGTCAGCAGACTTGAACTACTATATTAATTCTGCCACTAGCAACTAGTAGTGTAGCTTTGGGCAAGTCACTTATTTAGGAGTTTGACCACACAAATTCTAGTTGGTAGATGATTTCTGAGGTTCCTCCTAGCACTAAAATCCAGTGCTTGATAAATCTTTTAGGATACAGTAGGGAATTGCTTAGTCTTGAAGTTCTGCGTATCTTGTGTAAATGCAATATTTTAGACAACCTAGTTTAAAAAGTTATACCAAGTCAGCGCCATCCATATATGTCTAAACTGTTCTAAAGAGTTACAGAATAAAAAGTCTCTGGAATATTTTGTTGAAATGCTTCACCAATGGTTCAGATGCACACCAGAGGTTGAGAACCCCTGACTTAGGATCTGCCTTAGAGCCAGAAGGTTTGGACAGAGTTGACAATTTTCAAATAACCTTTCACATTGTCCTGTGGAAACAGTATTATAAAGAGTGAAGAGAGGATGGGCTAGCGCATAAAAGGCTGCTTAACTCATGGCTGAAATAGTACTATAAGCATTAATAGCCAGCTTCTTGGATTTATGTGTTTTTAAAACCTTATTCAAATATTAAAACTGTTATTTTTATGATATTAGGCTGAGATAGTTTATAATATGGTTCTATTTTCTCTGTTGATAAGTGTATATTAGTTTTTAATGTTTGACAGCTCTTCAGTAAAATCATTTCATTTTGTTTGTTTCTTAAATAGGAAAATTCTTCTAACATACTTACAGAGTTAGATGAAGAATTTGATAGTTTATACTCAATATTGGATGAGGTGAAAGAAAGTATGATTAACAGTATCAAGCAGGAACAAGCTCGTAAGTTACAGGAGTTACAGGTGAGGTCATGCAGCTATTTAAATATGAATATTTTTAGTTTAATGCTTGATTTATTGAAAGCAAAAATGTATGTGTATAACTCTACTTTTATCTTGTAGAAGAATGATTCTTAATATTTTTTGATCATTGATATGTTTTTTTTTAATTGTGATAAAAAACAAGATTTATCCTCTTAATCATTTTAAAACATATAGTTCAGTTATGTTAACTGTATTTACATTATTGTGTAATGGATCTCTAGGACTTCTCCATTTTACAAAACTGAACTCTATACCCATCAAACAACTCCCTATTTGCCTCTCTCTCCATGGCCTGGCAACCATCATTATATTTTCTGTTTTCTTGATTTTGACTACTTTAGATATCTTATAAGTGGAACCATAACAGTATTTGTCCCTTTGTGACTGGCATATTCTACTCAGCATAATTTCTTCAGGGTTCGTACATGTTTAGCATGTCCCAGGATTTCCTTCTTTTTTTATGGCTGAATAATATTCCATTGTATGCATATACCACATTTTGTTTATTCATTCATCTGTCTATGGACAATTGGGTTGCTTTTATCTCTTGCCTATTGTGAATAACACTGCAGTGAACAAGGGTGTGCAGCTATCTTTTTGAGATCGTATTTTCAAGTTTTTCGGCTATAAACCCAGAAGTGAGTTGCTAGTTCTTATGGTAATTCTATTTTTAGTTTTTCGAGAAACTTCCATACTGTTTTTTATAGCTGCTGTACCATGTTACAACCCCATCAGTAGCGCACAAGGGTTTCAATTTCTCCATATCGTTGCTGACACTTGCTACTTCCTAGTTTTTTGTTACTATTTTAATTGAGATATAATTGACCTATAACATTATATTAGTTTCAAGTATACAACATAATGATTTGATATTTATGTATTACTTAATGATCATGACAATAAGTCTAGTTGATATCTATCACCACACATAGTAACAAATTTTTTGCGTGTGTGATGACAACTTTTAAGATTTATTCTCTTAGCAGCTTTCAAACATACAGTACACTATTATTAACTATAGTCACCATGCTGTACATTACATCCCCAGGACTTATTTTGTAACTGGAAGTTTGTATCTTTTGACTACCTTCACCCATTTCACGTCTGCTTACTATTTTTTTTTTTATAATGGCCACCCTAACAGGTGTGAGATGATACCTCATTGTAGTTTTGATTTGCATTTCTCTAATAATTAGTGATGTTGAGCATCTTTTCGTATACTTGTCCATTTGTATTTCTTCTTTCAAGAAATGCCTATTCAGGTCTTTTGCCCATTTTTCAATCAGGTTTTTTTGTTGTTGAATTATAGAGTTCTTTATAGTTCTGGATATTAACCGCTTGTCAGATATGATGTGCATTTATTTTCTCCCATTCCATAGATTGCTTTTTTACTCCACTGGTTTTTTTTTCTTTAATGTGGAGAAGTTTTTCAGTTTGGTATAGTTCCATTTGTGTTTTTTTGCTTTTGTTTTTTGCCTGGGCTTTTGGTGTCATAGCCAAGAAATCATTGCCAGATCCAGTGTAGTGAAGCTTTGCTCCTATGTTTTCATCTAGCAGTTTTATAGTTTTAGGGCTTATGTTTAGGCCTGTCATCCATTTAGAGTGAATTTTCTGTGTAGTGTCAGGTAAGGGTTCAAATTCATTCTTTTGCATGTGGGTATCCAGTTTTCCCAGCACCATTTGTTGAAGATGCTCTTGTTTCCCCATTTTGTGGTTTGGCACTCTTGTCAAAGATCATTTGACCATATATGTGAGGGTTTATTTCTGGGCTCTCTGTTCAGTTCCATTGGTTGATATATGTCTTTATGCCAGTATCGCACTATTTTGATTAGCGTTGTAATATGTTTTAAAATCAGGAAGTATGAATGTGCTCTCAACTCTAGTCTTCTTTTTCAAGATTGTTTTGGTAATTCAGTGTCCTTTGCAATTTCATATAAATTTTATATATTTTTTTTTTTATTTTGATAGGGATTCCATTGAATTTGTAGATTGTTTGGGGTAGTATGGACATTTTAACAATATTAAGTCTTCCAGTCTGTGATCATGCGATGCCTTTTTGTTTATTTGTGTCATCTTTAATTTCTTTCAGCAGTTTTGGTAGTGTTCAGGTATTTTGTCTCCTTGGTTAAGTTTACTCCAAAATATTTTGTTATTTTCGATGCTATTGTAAATAGGATCGTTTTCTTAATTTCCTTCTTGGGTTGTTTCTTGTTAGTATATAGAAATGTAGCTGATTTTTGTATGTCGATTTGAGAATCGGAAAGCTGGAGAAGAATACAAACATTCTCTTTCATTCTTATGCACATACTGTACACATGCATTTTCCAAGGGTCAAATACTCTTCCAAGTCTGTGCATATTTCCCAGGTTGAGATTTTTTGTTTATGTTGAGGAGGTGGGGGTGGTATTACTTGAATCATTCAAAGGTAATTATTTAGTCATAAAGTATTTATAAATTTCAATAAATAAGAAATTCATTCATTTAAAAAACAAAATTGGAGAGAAAAGGAAAACTCATTGTCTTCTGAAGATCTACCCCACAACTCATCCTTTGCAGATTTCTCATCCCTCTTCACAGCACCAGTTTGGAATACCTTTTAAGCATTCCATTGCTTGATCTGCAGCCTCCCTCTCTCCCTCTCTGTCAGAGAATTTCTAATTACCTTCATCTTCATTGTGTTCGCCAGCTGTTTCTGTTAACCTAGCCCATACCACATATTAAATCTGCCACTGTTGAGGCCATGAGTCATATTTTTTCTCCAACCTTCTCTTCTTCCCATCGGGTGACAAAAAAAAGTCATGCATTTTGAATATGCATTATCAATTTTTATATGCCTCCTTTAACTATCCCTGGGGTGAGTGATGTTTCAGTGCTGCTACTGTTATTTTCCTTTTCTCTTACTTGTAAGCTCTCCAAATACCTAGTTGGTGCCTATTTTTTGTCGGGACCTTCTTTTTGCTTAACTGTACATGTAGTTTATTTTTTTGGCATTGTTAATAGGGGAGCTAGAGGAAGCCATTAGACACATTTTATAAAAAAACTTGCAGTTGGCTAGATAAAATTAAACTGTTGTTAACACCTTTCTTGAGAGTAGGAACTTTATTATTTATGTTTAGAAAAATACTTTTTACTTGCTCTCTATTCACGTATCTTATATTGCTAGCTTTTAATTAAGAGCAGTTAATTGGGTTCACTAGCTCTTCTGAGGTCCTTTTCTCTATTCTCCCTTTTCCCCTTCCCTCAGAATCCACATACATTGGATAATAAAGCTCTTAACAGCAATGACTTTAGCGAAGCATTATTAGGAATTGAAATCATAATTACCATTGGATTTTTAAAAACTATTTTATCATCTTCACTATGTCTTGTTATGTTTGCCCTAACAATACTATAGAGTTGTAAAAGATTTCAAAAAACTGTGAAAATGTTCCACATCTTAATGTTCAAAATTCATATTTGAGAAGCTAGTTTAGAGTGTCTTTTGTTAGCACAATTTATGGCGGTAAGTCAGTGATGATATTTGATCGACAGTATCAGTCAGTAAAATTTGACTTAGTGTTATGCTGGATTTGGGGTATTTGTAGTGAGCAAAACCCTACCTGCATGGATTTCACATTCTAATGGAGGATAATTTGCAGGAAATGCAAAAGAAAGGAAAATCAGATCCTTGTGTCAGAGAGATTAGAATTTATAAGAGTAAGCAAAAATATATTTAAGAAATAACTGATTTAAGAATAATGTTAATGTAAACACTATATAGCTGTACAGAATGCAGAGGAATCTTGAAGGGAATTAAGTTAAGAAACAGTTCATTGGAAACTGATTTGAAGCACTTTGAGGGAGGAAGGGACTTATTTATTAAAGAGAAGGGAGAGTTAAGATAATCAAAGATCAAAAGTCTGGAAGAGTCTTCGAATCATCTTGAAGCCCGGTGCTGATTTGGAAGAGAGATCTAATATCATCGGTGTCATGGCATGTGGGTTTTGATCCTTTGGAGTGTTGACTTTTTTAACTCAAGGTGTTTGAGATTTTCAGAATTAAATAATCTTTATCTATTGTGAATTTTTGATTTAAAATATGTCTATACTTCTAGAAGAAGTGTGGTATTTTTATATCAGAACTTGTTTTCTGACAGCCATGTACAGAGCAGGATATACATGAGTTTACATAAAATCTATAGTGCTCTTATAACAGGCCGCATTTATCGCTTTTGTAAGTGACTTAAAAGTTGTTGACTAAATTCCCAGTAATACATAATTGGGTCATATAAATTTATTTAAACTCTTTTTCTCATAGAGTCTCTGATAACTTTGTCTGCTTCAGGTTTTGTATTCTGTCAAATTCATCATTAACTGAGGAATTCAAAATGTTGCAGAAAATGGGAGGATCAGAGTTTTGAATACTGTTTGGAAGTAGTGACTGCAAGGGTGTTAGCACCTTCTTTTCTTTTTGTATCATCACTTCAGGTCCTAATTTTTTTCCAGTGATATCATTGTTTTATTTTTTTCCCCCTCCTTTTATCTTATACTTTATTAGCCCTTGTAATACTTAGTACTTGCCTCTCCTTCTCAATGCCACAAAACTTTGGGCAAATTTCTAAATAAGAATGGTATCTAGGGGACCAGGGGAAACTGAGGGGACAATAGGATGTTAAATAAGACTGTGAGTTATTGAAACATAAATTTAGTGAGAGTAACTTCATTCTTGAGGATATTCTTGTGTTATGATTCAAAGAAAAGCTACAGTGGTGTCAGCCTAATGGTACTTCAAACCATAAAGTTTTCTTGGGATAGTTTTAAAACCAAATATTAAAAAGAATCACAGCTTGGCTGTTGATGCCATTCCCTTCTTTAGTTGGAGATAACAGAGCATCTGTCTTCTTCCTTTGGGTTCACAAACTCTCAGTAGCATGTTGTATTGCTTAAGATATTTTAATAATTCCTCTGAGTAACTGATAAGTAGTGCTCTTTAAGTTGTATTCTTTTGTACTCTCCCCCTTCTTTTGCTTTCCCTCTTGACTTCAAAGTACATTCATAGCCTTTCCCCTTAGAATGTTATTTTATCTCAAACTTTGACCTCAGCTTGGACTCTTTCACATTAATGGTTCCTTTAGATATATTCTTTATTCTTCTTGATATTTTTTACTTTAAGACTACATTGACACGGTCTGCCCTAGAGATCCTGTATAGACCATTTATATCCACCATTTTGTTCTCAGTGATTTTTATTAAACCTTAAGCTCTTCTCTTACTGGCATATTTCAAATGATAGGTTGTTAATTCATCTTTGGAACTCATTAAAAGGTTTACTTACAGGAGGAGCAGTATTTTTATGAAATTGTGGTTCGGTTCTTAGAATAACACATTAAAACCTATTTTAACCCAAAATATGGCTGAACTATTCTACTTTTCCAAAGTAAACTAGAACATATTAGAAACCAACAAAACAAGCCATAGTTTATCTTTAGTGTTGATCTCAAGGGGAAACTAAGTAGATTTGAATATGGAATAGATATTTATAAATATTCTGAAGATGAATCTTGGATACATTTAAAAGCATAGAAATGGGTCTGTTTCTCTGTTTAAAGTCATCATCAACAATATTTTCACCTGACTGGGCTTAGTTTTAGATCCCCAAATGACAGAGTGAGAGAGAGAACGAACTGATTAAGAAAGGTCGTGTTTGGTGAAAATAACACATCAGAATAACAGCATATCAGTATAACACTTACATATTTTGTTCCTTTTTATTTTTTAAAAAAATCTATTCACTAACATTGTGATTCTTTAAGATATGTTCTGTGTTATTGAGTATTGGAAACTATAAATTAGTATTAATAAGAGTACCTGTTACTGAGTATTGTGATAAATGGAATACTAAGGTTGTGCTCAGCTGAATGTATCTGTAATTCGATTCATAAACTTTAACTTAAATAGGTAAATATCACCAAGAAATTTAGTCTTCGTTATAGAGGATGTTGTCTGTAGATGGATTATTTTGATGTTTTAATTGTCGATGGTTTTTAGACTACGCAGAGAAGAATCTTTAAGTAAATTTGACTCCAGTTATTTACAATTGCTTTAATTTCTTTTGTGTTTTTAAATGATGAATATGTTTTTATCTGCAGTTGAGCTCTTTCTGACAAATTATAAGATGTTAAGTACAATGTATTAAGATAATTAAATTTGTTAAAAATTACCTTGCTTCAGTAGTTCTTGAAAATATTTTTGTTCAATTATTGCCATTAAAATTCTAAGTTTATTATGATAATACATATTTAAGATTCTGATGGCAATAGGAAATTTTATTTTAATGATTTTATTTTTCTAGAGTCAGCTTAGTCAATGTAATAATGCCCTGGAGAACTCTGAAGAACTACTAGAATTTGCAACACGGTCATTAGATATAAAGGAAGCTGAAGAATTTTCAAAGGTACAAAAAAAAGATAAGTAGTGCTCTAAACTCCCAAAAAACTAATCCACTTAAAACAGAAAGTTTTGTTTAAAAAATGGTATTTTCTTTTTTAATTTTGGATTCATTCAGTCTAGAAAAATCTAAAGTCTAAAAGGAATATGAAATCTAGTTTTGTCTTACTTTCTGTGAGCTAGTTGGGAAAACATCTGCTTGATGCAAATGAGCACTAATTTAGTGGAATTTGTTACTAAGTTTGTTATTAAATGTTCTACTGTTGAAGAGATTATTTGAATGTTTTATTAAAATATGAAAATGTAGGTCCTTTATTTAAGGGGTATATTTGATATGAAAATACGAACAGTGGAGCAAGAAAACTGCTAATGTTTTAAACTAGATTCTGGTGTTAAAGAGATTCTGAATTCTAGTTTCTGGTTCTTATTTTAAGTAGGGTTGTTTTTTAAATGTTATAGAAAAAGTGGGAAATTAAGCCATATAATTAGCAAAATATATACTATGTCATAATCTTATTGAGATAATATATTTGTTTGAGATCACTTTCCTTGGTCTTTGTGGACTATGTAATGAGCTGCATTGGTGTTAGAAAGGTGGCTTTATGATTCATTTGTGTTCATGTATTCATCTTATGATTTTTCTGTGAACTTGAAGGTGGAAAAACTTCCTCAAGAAGGTAACATTTGCTGGCTTATTTTCCTACATTTTGAAAACGAACTTTAAAATTGATATTTTTTAACGAAATTAATCAAAACAAAAGTTATTTTGCTATAAACCAGTGAACTAATTAATTCTCGTATTTGGAGGTGCTTGTGAGAAAGTTCATCTTTGCACTTAGTAGCACTTATATAAAGGAATTATGAGGGAAATGTATTATACATTAAGGTACTTTTAATGTAATAGACATGTCACCTAGTTAAAGGGCTTTTATGTGATAACCTTAAATATCTAGAACATAGCCAAAAAACATGCTGAAAGCAAAAGATGTCTGAGTCATCAAAAATCAGTGTCGTAGAGTTCATGGGAAACAGTTAATATTCTCTGTTCATAGTTTCTCAGAATCTATTGACTATTAATACATACATGGCACTACTAAGTTTTTTGTTTTTTTCTTTGTTTCCTTGTTGTCAAGAGAGTTTACTTCTAGTGGGGTAGAGCAGCTGTAATCATAGCAGCAAGAATTCATGGCCAAGAGCCTGAGCGTGAGGAAGAAGACTAAAGTGTATACATAAGCACTCAAAAATAACTTGAGTCCAGTTGCATTTAAATAGGGACTGACACTCAGAAAAACTGTGATACAGTTTGTTTCTACCAAGTTTCTCTTTTCATTGTCATTTTCTGAGTCCTTCTCTTCCCCTCCTCTCAAGGGCTACTGTTCTCTTTCTCCTTTGTTCTTTCCAGCTTTGCTTCTAGCTTTCTTAATTAAAACTTATTCCCAGCTGTTTGTAAATTCGAAGGGTTCCTAACTGCTCACAATAGGGAAAAATGACTCAAGATTAATTATTGGACTAGCAGTATATCCTTAGAAATTTGGAAAAAAATTCTTTTAAGATATACTATTTCAAATATCCCACTTTAAAGTGATTAAATCAGATTAATATGAATAGTTCATGGGGACAAAAAAATATCAGGCTAAAACCCAGGCCATGAGTCTTTTTAGGCTTCATAGTACTTAAAAGAGAATTTTAAGTACTAACATTTAAATGATCACATTGCATTATCTCAGCATGAGAATTGAATATGAAGCTGTGCTATTTACCAACATTAGACAGTCTGAAAGTGAGCAAGTAAAAATAGCACAAATGGAAAAGGATTTTAGAATGGACTTTCACTAATTTTTTTTTTTAAGACTATGGGTTGATAGTAAATATATGCAGAAAGATCACCAGCAGATGAGATCTGGATCATTAGCTTTATTTCTGGATGGACAAGTAGCCAAAACCCCACCAAACGTGGGTTCTCTGCTAATAGCTGGCCTGCGCAATACTTCTTGGATCCTTTGCCAAAATTAGTATCCCTATCTTTCCCCACCCCCTGAATTTAGAACTTGAATTCTACCTGTGAAAAGAGCTGAGTCTGTGGAACAGTTTCCAAGTCAATGTAACTAACAAGTCATTTCATCGCAGTCTTGCCACTTGTCAGACTAGAAGGGACAGAATGGTTACCTGCCAGGCGCCGTTATTGGCATAAAATGTACAGAATAAGGTGAAAGGGAAACAGTGTCTTCTACATTTGATAACAGATGAAGAGGGAGAATGGGTTTTGTGTGTCTCCCACACTGACTCTCAGTCATTGGAATATTGTTTAGTGAGTGTCAGGCTGTGACCACTGGGAGGAGCAAATAGGAAGAGGGATGGAAGCTCACTCAGTATATTCAAGGGAGCAGAAGTACTGGCAGAAGCTGCTTTGGTAGGCTGAAGTCAGGGATGCTGGGAGAGGAGAGCACCTTCAACAATAGCATGACATGTTTCAGTGTGAAGGCAACTTAAAAACAAATCTAAGTGTTTGTTTAGAATAGTTCAAGTTCTAATTTTTCACCTTTATTTCAGTTGAGGGTCATTTATGTTCTATAAAAATGTAGTGTATTATATTAATGTGCTTAGTCATAGAGCAGATGTATGCAGTACTGTATTCAGAGTTTATTTAAAACGATTTACTATGACTTTGTGAGGAAGACTTTTGAATGATCGTGTTTTTGAAAAATGGTTCTTTTTATAAACAGATTTATATAGGAAATATAAAACTTGTAATATATAGAATCAATTGGTATGCAATTTGTTTTTTGAAAGTCGGTATTTTTGCCTAAAGGAAAATAGCATTTTGAAACTATTTCTTTTCACTCTCTATGACTGAGTCCCCTTTATTTCCCAAGTTATTCCCTTAATATGGTATTTTTGGGGTGAGAGTCAAAGTCTCAGTTATATATTGTTAAAAGTATTGAAAAAGTATTAAATATTTGCCTCTTTGTCATTTTCAGATTGTCTCAAGAAACCATTACAAAATTATCTGCCCCAAATTAAGTATGAAAATTTGAAGTATAAAACAGTGCAGACATGTAGACAAAACTTGAAAAACTCTATTGGACTTTACTGCAAATCAAAATAAAAAATCTTCTCAAGCAAATGCCAATTTTGATGTCTAGATTTTGCCAGCTTTATTGCTTTGACAGTGTTAGTGTGTTTTTCTCTCAGCAGTTATCATTCAGAAACATACATTATTTTTGTTGCTATTTATCAGTGTTCTCTGATTTTTATTCCTTTGCTGCCTCTTTTTCCATTTGCGCCTGTATTTCTGAGAATTAGATTGTTAAAAATGTTTAGTTAATTTTAGATAATTTTTAAAAAGTCGTTTTCTACAAATAAGATGGCTTAGGATGGACATTTAGGGTTCAGAGATATCTTAGTGCTCATCATTTTAAAGGTGACATAACTGAGTCCTAAAAGAGTTAAGTAACTTGCTAGTTATGTGATGGGCTGAAACTCAGATAACTTAAATCTTGGTCAATATTCCTTATTTTTGCTGATGAGTTTCAAAATGTCTGCTGATGGGGAAGCTATTTGGAAATATTAAATTTTTTTTCTGTTTGGATAAATATCTCATTGAGTACAGTAAACAAGATCTAAAACTTCTTTTTTATTATTCCCTTTTTAACTTTAGAAAATACTATTCAATATACCTACTCCATAAGTAGAACTATTTTAGAGTACTTTGCTTCTAATATCTTTCTATAAAAGGAGAAAAATGAGGGTATTAAGAAGAAACATAGAAACAGTAAGATTCTAGCCATTAAAGGGCTTGATATATTCATGGAATAAAATAGTTTATCTACTCATTGCCGATTAAAAACAAGAGAGACTGGGAAAAGATCTTGTTTAACTTCTTTTTATATTTAATTGGTAATTAAAAAGAACCATTCATGATTACTCCTACATTGTATTCTTATTACAATTCTATTTCAGGAAGTTTTGTCTTAGGTGACAGATTTCTAAAACTGATACAATAAAGGATCAGAATTATAAGATTTATTTTTAAAACAATTGAGAGAGGAAGGGAATGAGAGAGAAAGGAGCCATCTCTAATGAATAGAGATAAATGAAATGTTGGCAAACAAGATTTCACTAGAAGATTGAAATAGAAGTAGTGATTGAAATTGATGTACAAAATAGTGATGTTGAGCAAAGAAATATGACTAATACTTCTTGAAGGCTCTTCAGTAATAATAGTACCATAACTTAAAAATCTAAGCATTCACTGAGGCCTCTTCATAACTCACTAAGTGGAGTTCTGCAGATAAATGTATTGGAGACAGAATAGTGGTAAATGTTGGGATCGGTTAGTATTTATTAAGCCAAAATATTAAATTGACAAAATGCATCACTCTTGAAATGGAAACTTAGAGAAATCAAGCAATATAATATTGTATATCTTTTGGATGGCTTTTGCTTTGGGAGAAGAAATTCCAGGAAAAGAATTAAACAATCTCTTTTCTAATTTAAGACATTTCTTGAAATTGGACCCTTTTAGAGAGAGATTTTCAGAATTTGAGACTTTCTGCTCTTTATCATTGCACAGAATAACTTCTTTCAAATTTGAACCTAAATGAAAGAGAACCATGGAGTTTTCAGTTTTACTAACTAGGTATATTTATATATATAATACATGGGACAACAGTTTTTCCTGAATGATCTGGCTTGTCATCTATACCTTTTTCTTGTTTGTCACAAACAGCCTAGTATATTAAATAACATGAAAGCTTTACATGCATGTGTCCCTTCACACACACTAAAAATGACATCTTACTAAATTAAGTAACACTGGATATGAAGTTGAATCATTATGGTCAATTTAAAAAATAGTAATTGTCTTCATATTGTTGGGTTATTTGAGAGTGACTGGTAAGTAACATTACTTTAACCAAGTTCTAAACCAGTTGGGAAATAAGATAAAACAATAAAGCTGATTAAGAGGCCAAATACCAATAAAATGATATTGAGGAATTTGGCTTAGAGCAATAGGAAAGCTTCCTAATATTGAACCCAAGAATTAGACTTACCCACCCGGGTATGGTCATTATGGGACTACTTCAGATGTCTGTGAGGGAGCCATTTTCAGTGAAACTTACTAAATCAAGGGAAAGAACAGAATGTATGTTCTCTGTGGGTAAGCAAACAGCCAGAAAAATGGAAAGGTGCTGAGCTACTTATCTTTAGTTTCTCCTTTCAAACTCATAATCAGATTAAGTCATATCACCTCCCAAGAGAAATGAAGGAATAAAAAGAGACTAAGGGAGTAATGCTGGTGGCAGTTCCTCTGTATATAAAGAAACATCAAGTACAAAGAAGAGTCTCCTCTTCCCCTCCCTTAACATTTATATTAAAATCTTTGGTTATATTTCTAGCTATAATGACAATAATTTTTAAAAAATCAATGTAATTGACTTCCTTAACATTTCTTATCCATAGTGTCATGATTTAAGGAACATATAGATGCTACAAAATTGGGTTGTAAAAGGATCTTTAGAAACATTAAAGGATCTTTAGAAACATTAAAGACCAAAATCCCTTAATAAAGAAATACAATTAGTACAGGGTCACAGAATCGATTATGATAGTGCTGGAACTGTATAATATGCTGATCTAAATTGTAGTTCTTTTATGTAGAAAGGTTGTCAGACTAGAACCTTTTAGGATGGGTATGAAAATGACTGATACCAAGTAAGAACAATACTGGAACTGGAGAAGCAACAGAAGCAGTGCTGTATGTTCAGTTACATGTAGTAGTTATTATTATTGTGTGCAAAGCTTTATGCTGGACATTGGGGATGGTGTCGAGGAAAACAGCCTTACATTGGATGCATCATTAATCATGCTGGTCAGTGTGGGCAAAAACTTTTATTGGCTCTTATTTCGCATGTAAATGTAAAGGGTAAAACAATTTTTACTTGTATTTTTCATTATTTTTCTGTGAGTGTACAACATTAATTAATAGCTGTGTCCCCTTTCTAAACTTGTGCTAGCATTCTAAAAAAAAACCTGAAGAGTAGATTTAAGTTGGCAGCTTTTATGAGGTCATCTGAGAGAAAGATCCCATTGCTGGAAGCATTTCTCTGGTTTCTCCTTGTCTGAATTTTTTGCCATTACAACTTCACTCTTTCGGGGTAAAGGATTGTAGAACTGCAGCCTAGTTTTATATGTTAGCAGGCAAGCTCTCAGAAAACAAAGTCCTTGCCCAGTGAAGGCATATAGAGAAAACTTGGAACAATCATTATGAAGTGGTGAAAGAGATCTCTGAAGAAAAATTGGAGAGCAGATTTGAAATGTATAAGAAAAAAATCATCAGAGTGCATAGACATGTGTGCCCCATGAAGGAGATTGATTGTTCTAGTTGAAGAGTGTCAGACTGAATGAAAGTGGAAGTGTGTTATGATAATCTTAAGGTAAGAAAAAACATTTATAGTCATCTGGTATTAGTTTGAAGTGTTAAATTTCCTTTTAAGGTGATTTTTATATGGGGTGTGAATTTTCTACTATCGTTCTAACATCACATTATGCAAGCTGATATGAACTGTACAGATTTCTTATAATTTATGTTTTTGTGAATATGAACTAATATATTCCAGGATTTATATTCTAACTTTTCTTGCATGTCACTGCCATTGAAACTTGCATGAAAAGCACTAACTGCCTTCTTTCTCTTCTCCCTGATTTGCTCGAAGGCTGCCAGACAGATCAAGGATAGGTATGGAATAAAACCTCCATTTTTATTTGTGTTGACATTGAAGTCAGAAATGAAATTCAAGAACAATTTCTTGTTAGAATCTCATTGGTTAAAATAAAAATACCTAATGGCCAGGTACAAAAAAAAAAAGAATATCTAATGCATGTTTTCTGGAATAAACAATATATCAGCAAGATTTTTAAGAACAGAGTTGTGGACAATTATGTACTTCTAAAAGAATTTCATTTCTGGTATAATCTAGTTAGTTTTAGTACAGTTCTTAATGAGCTATGCTAATGGATGGGGGACCATTTTGAATAATTAAAAATATATATATATTCCTGGAATGCATTTTATAATTTTATAAGCGTGTCTTATTTTCTGAGAAGTCACAGCATTTTAAATAGTCCTCAGGAGCTAAAGCTCTCCTACTTCACTCCTCTCTGTTTAACACCTTCGTATTCTCATTTCGTCCTGTTCCTGGTGCCATCTCTATCTATTTCTAATGCCACTACTATCTAGTTTATGGGAAGAGAATATTAAAGAAAATGGGGAAAGACTGGCTTAAAAGGTTTTTCTCATTAGTAGAGCCAGGACTAAAGGAATTGAGTACTTCCTGTAATGAATACACCAGAGAGCTAAAACTACTGCTGGCAATTTTGGATTGGGTTACCACAGATGGGATGGTTCTGACTTGCCTGGCTGGTCACCGAGCATTGACTACAGTGAAATGATCACTTAGATTTCTTCATTTGAGGATTATGAGATTCTCTGAAAGCCAAGCTCTTCAAATCACCACTCAGAATCCTAGATTAAATTATTTTTCATCATGATTTACAAAATTATTAATTATAGATTGTGTGAAAGCCAGTGTCTCTTTTGTTAATTATGGCCGAAGACTTCAAATTATGTGTTTTTCTCATGGTATTTATTTAACGAGAGGCAAGATTCACATGGCAGTCATAGGATTCTTAGCATAAATATTAATCTTTATATTTTTTCTATATTTTATATCAGGGATTCATTCTTATAAATCCTGAATTTAGAAACGAGATTATGAGAGCTTGAAGGTGAAAAGTATTGGCTATATGAGGATTGGTTGCTAGGTAGGTCAGTTTTTTGGGTAAGGTAGTTTTGGGTTGTGTCTTGTGGAATTCGCTATGAGTGATCCATCTTCCACCCTGGCTAGATTATTTTTCTATTTAGCCACCTACTCCACTGAGTCTTACTCAGGTCTTTGCTTTTTTCAATTAGAAGTCACTTCCTAATCAGTCTTTGAGTTGTCCAAAGACTTTGTGAGAGACCTTTGTCCAGATTTGTGTGTCAAAATTTAATTTTGTAATGAGTGTTCATGGCTGAATGTATTCTTCAGTGAAACTTGATTTCTTTTCCTTCTCTTCTAAGCCAACCTCTTGGCTTGTTCATCAGTATCCAAGTGATCTCAGAACTCAGGATTCCTTTTTTCTGTGAGAGCAAACTCCATTTTTTTTTTGGTTTGGCTTTTTTGTTTTTGTTTTTCAAAGCTTATACTTTTTTTTAGGCTCCCTACAAATTTTTCGCTTCCTAAGGAACATTTCTGAATTATAGCTTAATTTTTTTAAACTTGATTTTTAGTTTCATAATTTACAGGTTTCTCTGAGATAGTTTTTAGGGGCTCTCCCAAGAAGCAAGTTTCTAGAATTCCATCATTACATTTTATAACATAAAAATAATTTAAACATATCATCATAATGAAATAATTATTTTCACTAAGAGAAGAAAGGATTATTCCCTAATGTGAGGGCAGAGGTGGTGTTTTAAAGAAGAGTGCATAATATACCTGAGCAAGGAATCAAATATATGAAAATGAAAGTACCTGTGAGAACTAAGTATTTATTATTTGCTGTGATAGAAGTTATGCAGGAGGAATAGTGGGAGCGACAAGAACACTAAAGACAGAAATGAGAAGATAATATGCAGCAAATTTCTACAGTTTTACAAATCACTGGTATACACTTCTGGATGCTTAGTAATGTTGGAATATGATTAGTTGAGGTATATTGTAGGAATTACTGGTTTTTAAAGAAAACAGATCATAAAAGGAAGAGTCAAATTAATTAGATTGTTTGAGGAAATTAAAAGTGTTCATCCATATGTTTTGCAGCTATTTTCGCAAAAATAAAACGAGGAGGAAGAGGGATCCTTGTATTCAGCTTGTACTAGTAGAAATAAATTGAGAAAGTCAGGGTGAATTAATTAAATCATTCCTAACCACGTGGATCCTGTAATGTAGAGAATTATTTATGGATTTTAGATTGTTAGTTTGGGCTTTGAGGCATATTGTCTAAATATATTCAGTTTAAAAATAAAAAGCTCAGTCTTTTTAAAGCTTATAGCATTGTTATACATCTAACTTGATTTATGGAGATTGAAATTTTCATTGACTAGAAAATAGACTTTTAATGCATTTTTTAAAGTTTTTAAATTTATTTTTTTATGGCGACATTGGTTAATGAAATCCAGTAAGTTTCAGCTGTATACTTTAACAGTAAGGCATATATATATTTACACAGTGTGTTCACCTCCCATAGTTAGATTTCTTTCTGTCACCACATATTTGACCCCTTTACCCCGTCTACCTCCCCTTTCCCCCCCCGTCCCACCCTCTGGTAACCGCTAGTCTACAGTTTATGTCCATGAGTCTCTGTTTGTTTGTCCTGTTCATTTGTTGCTTTTAGGTTTATATCCCATATAAAAGTGATGCCATGTGATTTTCAACTTTTTCTGTCTGGCTTATTTCACTTAGCCTAATTATCTTGAGGTCCATCCATGTTGTTGCAAATGGCAGTATTTTATCTCTTCTTATGGCTGAGTAATATTCCATTGTGTATATGTACCACAGCTTCTATAATGTATTTTTGAAGGAACATTCTTTTTCTTTGAGGCCATAGTGATTATATCAAGTTTTGCAGATGAATTTTCAGATTTAAATTCCCTAAAACACTTTTAGATATTTTTTTCAACAGTTCTCAACAAACATTTAAATAATCAGGTTTAGTAGCAACCAAGTAGGTTCAAAGCCATTCATTGATTCTGTGGGCATTTACTAGTACATATCTGAATATAGTTCTTTCAGAAGTCCAAATCAGAAGATGCTTGGGGCTGTAAAGAACAAAGCATGTTAAGACTTAGCCTTTGTTCCTAACTTCCTATTGATATGATCTGAAATTGTATTGAGAACCAGTAAAGTAATACATGCGATGTACTCAGTGTTATGCTTAGCATTCAATGCGGGTTCCCTTCCCTATAAATTGTATTTCAGTAGAGCATCTTCTTCTTGATAAATAGATCAGTTAAATCATTGTTTCTTTCTACTAAATAAAGTGATTACTTTCCTAGTTTTAAAATTAAATAACTGAATACAGAAACAATTAGACATTTTTTTATCCCAAAATAACAGTACTGCAACAAGTTTGATATCTTTCAAACCATTGATCTCTAGAGTAGATTTGGCAGATCTGAATGACTAGGCTTGGTATTCTCTTTTTACCTCTAGCTCTATTTACTTCCTCTCCCAAACTGTATACTAGGAGGACAGCATACATGAATTTTACTTTTGTATCATTCTTTGACAAAAGATGATAAGGAGAGTTACTTTGTGATACTTATGGAAACTTACTGTAATGTGAAAAGGTGAAATTTGAGATAAAATGACAAATTAATAGATCATGAGTATTTCTTGTAGTTCCCAGTTATAATTGACAGAACAATTTCCCCAGACTATGGGTAAAATGAGGTCTTGTATGACTTCTTTTTGTTTGTTTGTTTGTTTTTTATACCATATTCATCTAATAAATATTTATTGAATGATTATTTCCATGGCATGTGGTTTCACAGGGTTATTTCTCTTTGTATCCTTCCATTTAGCGTCAGTACATTAGAAAGACACCTACTAGCATGATATTCAGAATTACGATTCTACTACTTTCCTTTCTCATCCATGGCATCTCTTTAGCAGCTACCAAGCTATATGTTTGGTCAGTGTACCTCTACTCTTATTCAAGGTTACATGGGGTGGCTGTGACTACTAGGGAGACTGTTTGAATCAGAGTACATGTACAGTTCATTATTTGGCATATGAAAAGGAATGAGGCTGGCATCAGGAAGTCAGTGAGATTGAGTTTACAGAAGTTCAGATGACTCTTGGGTCTGCAAACAATGATTTATATTGGATATTCGTTTTTTTGTGATATTTGTATTTGTGTACAGTTTTATAAAGGTAGGCGGACAAAAGTTCCTTAAAGTTATGTTAAATGTATTTAAATTTTAAAAATCTTACAGTTTTTTAATTTTCCAAGACTCTAAGAGCAAATTTCTATTTAGTTTTATTACCGTTGTTATAGTTTCTGAAATCACTAGAGTAAAATAATTTTTATCTTTTCATTTTATAAATTAAACATATGATACTTCCCATTCTTTTATTTCTAAAACAATGTTTGTGTTTGCCATAGGGTAACGATGGCTTCAGCTTTTCGCCTTTCTTTGAAACCAAAGGTCAGTGACAACATGACTCATTTAATGGTGGATTTTTCTCAGGAAAGACAGATGCTGCAAACTTTGAAATTTTTGCCAGGTAAGTAAGTATGTAGTATATTCTATGTAAAGTTAGAAATAAAAACTTTTTTTCCTTCAAGATTTTTTCTGTAATGAACATTGGAATGTAAATATTAAAGAAGCATAGCATGATTTTTTTCTTCATTCGTTAAATTCAATTAAAAATAGTTAAATTTGCTGGTCTTTATTTTTAGAGAATTATTTTACCAACAGAAGCAAGAAATAGCGTTTGACAGAAGCAATATATCACGATGGTTAACACTGGGTCTTGGAGCCAGACTTCTTAGATTTGAATCCTGGCTGCCACTTACTTGCTTTGTATCCTTGAACAAGTTATTTAACTTTGCCTTATTTCCTTCATCTATAAAATGTGATGTTATCCTTCTAGGGTTTTTATAGGGATTAAAATGAATTGAAACCTCTTGAAAATAGTACCCAGCATGTACTTAACACTCAGTGCATGTCAGCTGCTATCATTAACATTATTGTGGTGGTGGTTGGCTCAATGGAATTTTATTTCCAGTAATAAATAATATGTTAACATTGGTTTATTAGAGTATCAGTATGAGGTTATTCCAGTAGCCGAACCATTTGAAGTGAAGTTCCAAATTATTGTCCACAGGTGTGAAAGAGCCAGTTAAAGACGTTTTTTGTTAGTGGTATTCTCTTTTTAGCTAGCATCAAGTAATATTAAGTTGATAGCTAAAATAATTTGGGCATGGTGACTTGGAGATCAGAAGTCTCTTGAAAGTGAGGTGTTTTACTTAAACAGGTGCTTTGTTAGAACTAGTTTTTATTTTTAGAGGTTAGCTTTTTTTGAATAGAGAATGTTGATCACATGAAAACATTCTTTGAATATTTGGTCAGGGATTTAAAATATTGGAAAGATGAGGTTAGTAGTCATGAAACTAATGGAACTAATAAAGGTAGCATGAGTGAAGTATTAATTAACTTGTGTGATACAGATCAAAAGTTCTAAAGAAGTTTATAGAAAGAAAACATGAGGAAAGGAACCATATTTGTAGAGAAAGTATGTCAGTGGATATTTACTTACAGATTGGCTTTTCAGAATTACTTGCCATTGTATTATCATTTATACTACTTCCAAATTCAGATGGAGTCTAGAATAGTGGATTGTTAATATACACATTATTATTACTTTAATTTTTTAAAAAACTAATAAAAAACCAATTTTCTCACCATTTCTTTCTCTTGAGTTTTCAGTGATATCTTAACAGACCAAGGCCATACCCGCTGTACAGTCAAGTAGTTACATGTACAGTTAAGATTTCCTCGTTTGGCAAACTTTTAAGATAGTCTGAAGGAATGAGGTATAATAAAACAAGAAATCCTTTTGTGGAGGAGTTTCATCCTGAAGGAAAAGTATAATAGATTGTTAAGATTTATAAAAGATGAATTCATATTACTAAATTTTTATATTCTCCTATAGCACAAAATTTTCCTGTAAGATACAATCACATTAAATTTTAAAAATGAATAACCGTTATCCCTTAGTAATTCATTCCGTAAACACCACAAAAACCAGCTCTACGCTATATTATGTATAGTAACATGAGTTGTGGACTTACCTGAAAAATGGAAGTGATGATGAGGGATGTTAATAATTGAAAAGCCATTTTATTCTACTTTAAGCCATTTTTGTACATTGAAACAGTTTATATTCTCCTTTCTGAGCTTCTGCAGCTCAAAAGAGAAACATATTTGTGGCAATGTTGATGCCGCTGCCCTTTGACATTCACATGCAGAGAAAACTTTAGTAAAATTCTCGAACCAGTTTGCTCACTATTGCTAGTTAACTGCTACTTTATAAAAATTGCTGTGAATTGCTTTTCATTCTTACTTCCAAAGAGAGTTCTGCATTTTCTAAGTAGTGGTTTTATACGACATCTTTACCACCTTTCATCTTCGAAAAGTTTAGCCCTTGATTAATGAACTCTTCTCTTCTGTATAGACTCTTTGGTTAACTTCCCACAGTTTAGATCCAAGTCAACCTTAATTTGACATACAACTCTTAAGTTATCTAAATTTTCTTTTTTACTCCTAGGTAGCACCACTTTCTTAGATTTTCTTTTTTTCATTTTTACCTCAGTTACCACTTCTAGCAGTTTGCTTTCTTTTGGGGGCCATTAGTCACAAGAAAGAAGAATACTTGCCAGTACATTTTTACTGGAATGGTAGCTGAATTGAGATGTATATAGTGGGGAGTTAGCTAGACCCACTTACAAATTAAATGATTCTCTCTTTATATCAGCCTCTTGGGGCTTTCAGTACAGGTTTTTGACTCAGCAAAATTATAAAATTACAGTATGATAAATAGACCTTTATATTTCCTCACATATAGGCAATGCAGAGCACATTAAATTCTTAAATTTGTGAATGCTTATGGTCTATTCTTTTGGCAATAAGTAGTCTGTATTGCTTATGTTCCAGTAATAGAGACTAATATCTGTTATGTATTGTAGGGACAAAAATACCACAAGACAGATGAAGGAAATTAATCATAATGACAAATGATAAATATGTCTTTGGTTGTCATCTTACTAATAAAGTATATCAGATTCCAAGTATTTATTGTATAATTACACACATAAGGGTTGAACTTTGGAGACTATAGTTAATGGAGATCAGTTGTCCCCTTTCTTCCTCCTCCCTTATTAGTTTGGCTTGAAGATTTAAAATTTATATCAAATTCCTTTCATCTTGGTCTTGATTATTTTATCCAAGAAACTTGGTTTACTTTGTTATTTATTAGGTCTCACATTGCTTTGCATTTTAACATTTGTATATAATTGCTTTGTTATTGTAGTTTTTTAAAATTAATGCTTTGTTTTTTAAACAATTTTAGATTTATGGAAAATTGAGCAGATAATATAGTTTCTTCCTCCCTCACATACAGTTTCCCCTATTATTAACATCTTGTATTAGTATGGTACATTTGTTAAAATTAATGACCCAGTATTGATACATTATTATTAACTAACATCCATATTTTACATTAGGGTTCACTTTTTGTATTTTACAATTCTATGAGTTTTGACAAATATATTGTCATATTTCCACCTTAACATTATTATACAAAATAGTTTCACTGCCCTAAGATCCCTTTGTACTGTGCCCGTTCATTCCTGCAGCCTTGCTATAATTACTTGTTTGTTCCAAGAATTTTTTTGTTGATTCTTTGGGGTTTTCTCTTTAGACAACCATGTCGTCAGCGAACAAAGACAGTTTTATTTCTTCCTTCCTAATTCGTGTACTTTTTACTTCCTTTTCTTGTCTTATTGCTAGAACTTCCAGTACAGTGTTGAATAGGAGTGGTGAAAAGGGGACATCCTCACATTGGGAGAAAATATCTAGTTTCTCAACATTTAAGTATGATGTTAACTATAGGTTTTTTGTAGATGTTCTTTATCAAGTAAAGTCCCCCTCTATTTCTAGTTTGCTGAGTTTTTGTCGTGAATCTTTATTGTCAAATATTTTTTCTCTATTACAATCATATGATTTTTCTACCGATGTGATAGATTACATTAATTGATTTAAAATGTTGAACCAGTCTTGTATACTTGGCATAAACTTTTTAAAACTCTTTTTTAAGCAACAAAATGTTTAAATACAATATCTGCACAGTTTCACACATTTCAAACACAGCTGTCACCAGAGGACCACGTTCTCCAGTTAGCCTGTTGTTATGTAAATGGAACATCTGTTAATGTTGAGGAGCTATGGAAAAACCTCTTTTATGGAAAAGAAATTGATTAATGTTCATACATGTTAACTGTGGCTCATTTACCCCATTTTATTTTAATGTATCATAGAACTCTTTGGGGAAGCATTTTAAAATCCTTAAATATTTTGGCAGGTTGGGGAGTTCATTTTTGTTTAGTGCTGAGAAATAACAATTCTTTTATAAACGAGATTTTAAAAATTGAAAATATCTTGAATTATTTTAAGCTTTAAATTCAAAGCAAGTTATTCTATTTTGTCAATAGTGATTTAATTTATATTCTATGGCTGTTTGAAGTAGATTAAAACTGTGTTGAGGAGCAACAAGTCAGTCTTGATTCTTTATTCTTAGCATGTTTGAATTGCTTTTTGCTAGCTAGGATTTTAATATAGTTTGAATAAATCTATAGAAAAACTTTGAAACATGAATTTTTAAACAGACCTTTGAAAAATATTTATTTTGCATTTATAGGGTATTCTTTCTCTTAGCCAGATTTAATTGAACAGTTCAAAAGCAACATGAAAAAGCATAGTTTGAATGACAAATATTGGATTAGTACTGTAATAAATGATAAATGAGCCTTTTTTTTTTCCTTTAGTCCCTAAAGCTCCAGAGATAGATCCAATAGAGTGTTTGGTGGCTGACAATTCTGTAACAGTAGCTTGGAAAATGCCAGAAGAAGATAATAAGATTGACCACTTTATGCTGGAATATAGGAAAACTAATTTTGATGGACTTCCACGTGTAAAGGATGAGCGATGCTGGGAGACAATTGATAATATTAAGGGTACTGAATATACACTGTCAGGTAAAATGACTGCATTCATGAATCTCATTCTCAGAAAATAAATATAATTGTGAAAAATATTTTGAGTTACTTTAAAAGGTAAAATTAAGTTTCTTTAGCCAAGTAATTATGTATTAATCATAAAAGTGAATTTCTTTTAAAATATGAAGAAAACCTTCATTTAAATACTTTTGGATATTTGTAACCTGTTAAAATAATGTATGTAAAACAAATATGAAGGGGTGTTCTAGAAACAGTATTTCAGAATAGCATTTAATTTTACCTTGGTTTTCTAACGATAAAAATACTGTCAATTTTCTAGATGTACACACTACGCCACAGTTAGGTGATATTGTAAATACCGTTGCCTTTACCCTTTTATGGTTACCTTCATGTTGCTACTTAAAGTAAAGCTGTGACTTGATATTAAACTTTGTTTCTTGGCCTTTTGAAAAATTTTAAAAAGGTATCTCTGTTTATTGGGGACTCATATTTGAAACTGCAAAATGTTGCCTGAGTTGTTCAACACTTGTTAAGCATGATCAGTAATATTAGTAACTTGACCATTTTTGAGTTCTTGCCCTTTGTCAGGAGCTGGGCCGAAGTGTATTATTATACAGTACATCTCATTTAATCAGTACAATATATCTCATTTCCTATTTCAGTTATGAGATTGGTTTTTTATATTTTACAGATACAAAACTGAGACTGTCATGTTAAGTTCCAAGCTAGTAATTTTTGGATTATTTTAAACTTGACTAAGTTCAGAGTTTTGCTGTTAATCCTTATACTTCACTTTCTCTTTAAATTCATTTTCACATAAAAAGGCATGTTTCATAAATATAAAAATTCTTGAGGATGTCTGCTTTGTAGAAATTGAATATGTTATTTTAATTTGTAGCATCTCTCCTTGATTGAAACATTACTTTTAACAAGGCTTGAGAGTACCTTATCACTAATTAAAAAAAAAAAATCAGTGATAAACTATATGGTTTATTTATTTGGAAAAAATAATAAATCATGAATTCCCTTATTTCAGGCATTATTACCATTTTAACACAAATTTGTATTCTTCCTGAGTAAAGACATAGTTTCAAGGATGGAAAAATCTCTGTTTAAAGGTTCATATTCATACTTTTGGAGTAGATTCCTTTACTTTTCCTATCTGAAAACCATTTTCATTTTTTTCAGGCTTAAAGTTTGATTCAAAGTATATGAATTTCAGAGTGCGAGCTTGTAATAAGGCTGTGGCTGGAGAGTATTCTGATCCAGTGACCCTAGAGACCAAAGGTAAGATCAGTAGATATTTATACAGCATAAAACAAAATTTAACGTAGAAGTTATTCAAGACTTTGTGACAGGAACCATTTCACATATGGTTGCATTTCTTCGCCACCTTCAAACACACACACACATACACATACACACCCTCCTCCAGAATTCCAAACAGTAGGAATTTTAAGATGTGGAAATTAGGACTACAGTAGTGGTATTCATTAATTTTCCTTTATCATGTATTCAGATAAGTAAAATAGACTGAGATGATGGTGTTACTTTCTCTTGTGGGTGCTCAGTTTACAAATTTCAGTCTACTATAAATATATCAACATCACTGAGATTTGCCCAGAGTTTTCTCAGGGAATAGATTATTGCTCAGTAATGGGGAAATACCTTTTCAGTTTAGTTCAGGTCTTCTCTCTCCATTTTTTTTAAATATTATTGTAGAAATTAACATTTACATAGTTTATTAACGTTTACAGAGCACTCTCACAGTTCTTCATTTGATCTATAAATCATCCAAAAAGATCAGTAGAATAGGTATTATTTGATGTCCATTTTTCAGGTGAAGAAAATAAAGTTCAAATATGTTAAATGACTTGCTTGTGATCCCTAGAAGTAGCTTGGAAAGATATAAATAAGAATCTATTTCCAGGTTCTGTGCCAGTAGCTCCTATTGTGGACATAGAACCTAGATGCTTCTAGTCTCTGAGAGCAATTTTGGATTTAATTAAAACTCTATAGTTTTATTTTAACTCCCATATTTTAATACAGAAAAATTTTCAGGTATTTACCAATTGGTAGGTCATAATGCTAGAGATTTTCCCAGTTGTGAAATGATAATTGACTAGATTTACTTCCAGAATCTGATTGTACACATTCTAATAGGTTCTTGGGCATTAGAGTATTTCAGTGATCTCTAATTCACATAGTATTTGAATGGGTTTGCATGCCAGAAGTTTGATACCATTTGGAAGATAATATAAAATATTATATTAGAATAAAAATATAAGGCTCATAAGTTTTGACAAGATAAACTCAGAAGAATATGTTTGCGTCACAAAGGTAAATAGAAAACCTAACTTGAAGTAATTTATTTGGATTAGCAAATGTTTTTATTTGAGAACTGTAGATAACTAAGTTATCTAACCAAGAAGCGCAGTTACTTTGAATTACTTGTTATCAAACTGAGATGTTACTGTGGTTATTGAGAGATTCTTAACATTTCAGAGTAGTCTTATTCACAGGCAGATAACCTTTGCTACATAACTTGAACTGTGTCAGGTAAAATTGCATTATTATTCTCCCTCAGGCATATCGTATCTTTTTATTTCTTTTATTCCTTCTCATTTACCCTTTATATTTAGTGACCAAACTTGGACCTAAATGCGGTGAATTATACATTTTTTCAAATTTAGTGGAATTAGGAAAATGAATTGCTGGCGTATAATTTCCTTGGAGCTGGGCTGGCTGTTCCTGTTAGTATCTGGGTCTTACTAGTCAAATTCTTGGTCTTAGAGTTGTAAAAAAAAGGGAAAGACTAAGATGATTCTAGTTTTTTTGAGCATTCATCACTGGGGTAAACCCACTGGGTTGTGGATAGACTGACACTCAACCCCAAGGACCACTGAACAGTGATTTTGAACTTTAGGGAGATCCAGAATAAAATGTGTCCCTTAAATAGCTATGGGTCATGGATTTTCTAGGGTTATTCCATAGCACTGAAGTGGCCACTAATGAGAGCAAGAGCTCCAGATTTTTAAAAAATGACATGTTGAACAGTTGTTTACTAATTGTTTTGGCTTGCTGAAGCCCTTTTTGACCAACTAGTAGAAATAAGTGTATGAGCAAAGAATTGGAGGGAAAGGGAGAATGGTAGAGATTAAACAGTTGAGGCCTACCAAAATTTCATATCCTTCTACTCATCCTTGGTATGGAAAACAGTGAACATTGTTTATTTCTGTCTCTCCAATGTACATAGCACTATTTCTTCTGTCACTGGAATTATCAGAAGTGATGCATAATGTAAGTTCTTATGACCAGAATTTTAAAAGTAAATTATCCCTATTTTTTTATAAGGTAAATGATATGATATTAATCACAATTTCCTCTTTAATCTCAAATGATAACGGCTGTGATATAATTTTACAGTACCAAGAAAGCCACCAGTACAACCAGTTAAACCTTTGAAACATACCTTCACTCTGAGATTTTTGATAGTTTGTTTTCATAGACTTTTAAAGATATAGAAACTAATATCTAGCTATATTACAGGGCTTATATGAGAGGCAGGACTAACATTTGAGACTTCACATTTGAAGCTAGTCCTTTTTTTGTTTGTTTTTAACTATATGGTATTATTCCTGTTACCTTTGCCTGTTACTTAGTTGAGGTCCCATAAAGGGATAGCGTCCAAAAATATATATATATATATATATATGAGAGAGATAAAAGATTATACCCCTAGTTTTGAAACTGATGCCTTTCTGTTTGGGTACTGTGGGATTTGATAAGACTGGTCTCAGGTGGCTTGAGAGTCCTGCCTTTTCTTACCACCATTGACTCCACCCTTCTCTCTATCTTGTGAAACATTAGACTGTTTTTCAGCCTTACGATTTTTTTCTTTACATTTTAAAAAGTTTATTTACTATTTTTAAAACAGCCTTAGGATTTTAACAAGCAACTGAGAATTGATGGCACCTTACTTATATCCACTTTTCCCTCAAAAATGTAAATGGCTTCACATGCATTACCTAATAGCTAGTAGAGAGGTTAACCCTGTTTTCTTAAGGCAGTTCATTCTTGATAATGCAAGGTCTCAATTTTGCTTAATCCTAACTTTTTAGTAACCTCTACCTATTAAGGAAATCTATTTCCATTTTTACTGAGAAGGTGTATTGCTTCTTTCTGTAAATTCATTGCTGTTTACATGCAAATGTTGAAAGCTATTAACTTGCATAGTATGACATTTGCTAGAAGCAGTTATTGTTAAATTTGTATTAATGTTGTATAAAGACAGTGAACAATGGTCAGATGCATAGTTGAAGTTAAAGTGCTCTTTACAGAATAGTAGAGGATAAAAAGATCTTTGATTTACTAGATAAATATTAGGCTCTCTATATGAATATTTTGTTGTTTGATGATGCATACTTCAGATACACTGAAGCCTTAGGTAAATCAGGTAATATCCTTATGTGAAATAGGCTATTGTAAAAGAATATTCTTTCAGTGAGTCATTACCAGAAGTTAGAACTTTTGGAAGGAAATGTAACTAACAGAGGTGGATTAGTTAGTAACTATGTGGTAGGTGAAACCTTGCTTAAAGCAGAGATTCTAGAAATTGCATTTTAAAATAGGAACTGTGCATTACTCAACTACGAAACAATACATTTTAGTGAGTTACCCTCAATTTTAAAAGAGAGGAGGTAATATCTTGCTATACTGATTTCCTGATTTAGCAGTTCTGAGTAAGTATTATGAATAGTACAGATAGTTCCTCCCCACAAATAATTAGAAAAGCACTGCTTTGTGCTTTTTAATTTATTTTCATTTGAGTAGCACACCACCCCCCACCCCCACCCCCACCTATGAAAATCATCTCTAGCTCCATCAGCTGTGTCAGTTCTCTTGCTTTTGCTATCATGGCTCTTTTCTCCATGCTCGTCTTAATTTGAAACTACTGAGAGTTTAAATATGAAATTATTGAATATTAGAGCATCAGGAAAAATATATGTGTGCCAGGCTCTATAATATTGTACAACACATCACTTTCTCCTCTTCCTGTTTAGTAATAACAACCAACTAATATTCTAATATCATGAAATTGGGGCTTTTGTGTACTGATAGAGATTCCAGGAGAAGAAATAGCAGAAGCAGCCGGGGCCATGCAAGTACATTGATTTTGCTTGGAGTATAGAATATATAGAGAATAATAATGGGAAGTAACATAGGAATTAGTAAATTACGGCCTTATCTTTGGAGACTTTAAATGCTAGGATTAGAAATTTGAACTTTATATATAATGTTGAATAAAATGAATAGGAAAATGATATAATTGTGCTTCAGAAAGTGGAGATATGCTATATTTTTTTTAAAAAATTGAAATATTGTTTTGTATAGCACTTAACTTCAGTTTGGATAACTCATCATCCCATTTGAACCTGAAAGTTGAAGATACCTGTGTAGAGTGGGATCCTACAGGAGGAAAAGGTCAAGAAAATAAAATTAAAGGAAAAGAGAATAAAGGCAGGTAAGCTAGTTCCTTAAATCTGTTATCTGGAAAAATGCTTATACACTGATTCTTATTTGACAATAACTTATAATAAAATTCTTATTCTATATATCAACATGATGTTGGTAACACTGAAGTGAAGAATATACTATTGTTTGTCAATACTTGAATTTGTCACTAACATTTTTCATTTCTTTTTCTTAGTTTCTTTTCTAATCCTCATATACTTTTTAACTTCAGTATTCCATTTCTTTTAAGTTATATCTACAGCAACTTGAACTGCTTAGAGAGAAGTTCCTAGTGTAGTTCCTGAATTTTAGATTTATAGATCACCTGCCTTACCTGAAAGTCTGCATAGAAAGACAACTTTTAGCATGTACAACTCCAGTATCTTGCCCCTAATCAGCAGCCTTATGAACCAGAGTTAGACTTTAATTGTTGTTAGACTTATTTAGATGGTCTCAAAGTATGGGGGCTTCTTTCATTTTTAACAGAGGAAAATTTTGCTCAAACTGAAATAAGGTAATATCATTGTGAGTTACAATGGCAAATCAAAAAATATTTTTCATGAGGCTTTTGGTCTAATTTTATTATAAGCTGTTAAATTTAAGTTATAAAGCAGTCTCTTAACAGTTGCCTATTTTTATCTGACAGTGTCCATGTTACTTCACTGAAGAAACATACAAGGTGATGATCTCTGTCTGTCTAGTTCTAGGACTTAGTATATCTAGCTTGGCTGAATAACTTTAATTTTTTTCTTTAACCAATAAGCAGAAGCCATTGCAGCCTTCATGAGCTAAAATATTGCTCTATGTAGACTGTCTCTATTGGTAGCTTATGTTTTGAATTTACAACATTATAGTGTGCTGCATATTATTTGGATTATATTGCATATCATAACAAAACAATAAGCTCTGCTTAAGTGTTTCTTGAATTATTTTCCCTTATCTGACTTTTTTCTGCATTTACTTATACCTGGCATCTCTCTTGTTGTGCTGTATTCAGTATATCTAACATTACAGCTTTGCTTTTATTTGTATTTGACGTGAGGCAGGTTTGAGGTGTTCTTATTTTATAATAATGCAGTTTTAAAAGCATCAGAATAAAAAGTAAATGACATTAGTGAAATTATTAGGACAATGCCAGAAAGATGAATCAGTTCAAATGCATGAGTAATAATGTGCTGATTTGAAAATATCACATATCTTTATCAGAAATCAGGATGTGTTTTTTCAAAATTACCTTCCTCTCTTTTTTCTAGTTTGTTCATTGGTGAAAGTGATTTTATTGTTAGTGTATTATAAATTGTAAAATGCAGCTGGATTTAATAGAGTGCTTGAAGCTTCATTTGGTCAGTTAGAGATTTTTAAGCTCTTTGTGCTTAGCATTTCAGATTATATTTTTTTCTCCCTTTTCTTTTTTTAAGAGTATTTTCTACGTAGGCTACCTCTGGAATATCATATACATTTCTTTCTATAAATATGTGTTAACTCTAGGATGTAAGATGAATGTTGTGGAATTTATAGAGATAAACACTGCCCCTGCTGTCCAGAAGTGTGCCCTGTTGGTGAAAGATAGATCTATATACAAATAACATCATGCAAGGTAGCAATTATGCGTAATGGTAACTGTGAAGAAAGGATTTTAGAGGAAGAAAGGTGTCCTGAACTGCCAGGTGTTGAAGTGGTTAATTAGGACAGTGAGGCAAACTGAAGGTAACATCAGGCCTTTATCCCCTGGTTATGATAGTATAAGCAAGAGGCCACAAAGGAAAGGGTGCTAGCTCTTCCAGTGTGCCATTTTCCCCAACAGAATGAGGTGAGGGGTCAAGTAAATCAGAGAAGGTCGCAGGTGGAGGATATCACCTCACTGCTGAGGAAGCCCGAAGCAAAAGTCTCCTTCTGTTATTTTATGGACCTGAGACCAAGCAGGTGGGAGAAGGGGAAAGGTTAGGGAAAAAAAAGTATTGAGACAGCATAGAGAAAAGCGTCTTCATTCACCCTTGCCCCCTTTATGGAGATCCCCTCAGAGGCCCCTGAAAAGAGTCTCAGCTGAGGGCCCCCCTCCCATAAGGGGGGTCTCTGAATAGAGGTCCCTAAACTAGGAATGCAGATGCATATGTGAGCATGGGATAGGGGAAGAGATTGCAACTTCTTCCAGAAACTGCATTGAACTGTCGGTACACTGAGTCTGGTGTGGGGAAGGCACCCCCCCTCCCCCCCACGACCCAGGCCTGCCAGTAAAGCCTTTGTAATTGCCTATGGTTGTGCCTGAAAGAACACACATCAAGATTTTGGCCTGGAGTTGGGCTCTTCAAAGAGTTATTTAGCCTGTTAGGATCTGGGACACCTTCATTAATAGAATGGTATTTAGGCTGGTTCTCAAGAAAGTGGAAGAATGTGGCATTGGACATGCAGTGGGAGAGGGAGCAACAGAGGAAAGACACTGAAGCAGACTGCTTGAGTTTAAGGAACACTGTAGCTGGATAGTGCTCTCTAGGGGTGAAAAGGCTAGAAAAGCAGATTGGGGCCAATTCAAGAAGACCCTGAAATGCGCAACAGAGTCATTTGTAGGCAGTAAGGAAGTACTTGAAAATTTTAAAGTAGGAAAATCAGAGTTGAGTTTATCTAATAACAATGAATAAGATGAATTGGGTAGCAAAAAGATCATTTGGAAGCTGGTGAAATAATTCAGAGGAGAGGTAACAAAAAGCCTTAATTCAGATAGTTGAATGACCAGCATATTGTTAAAGGGGGCAGGAATCATGTTTGACATAGACAATACTAGCTGTTGTACTTCTTGCAAAAATGTACTTAGGGTCGGAAGTCAAGAATGCTGCAGTGGAAGAGTTCTTCTTATTTAACTTTTGTCTGAAATTTAAACTGCCATTCGCAGTAGTTATGTCTGTTTTTCTTTTCTCCATGCTCTCCTTTTATTTCTTTACTACTGGTAAGTTATAATTTTTTGTTGTGTTTTAAATGCAGTAATTCAGTATAATTGAAATAATAATTTTTAAACATCTTTGGGATTTGATTTATTTTGAGTTTTTGAGAGTTAGTGAAATATCTAATACTGTCTAGTTTACCATGTCATACAATTTGTTATCAGGGGAGGTCAGGTTGGATCTTGTCCTTTTTAGTGGGAGAAATGCTTTTTAATACTTGTTATTATCCTGTGCATGGATATGGGAAATTGCTGCTTCTCTATTTAAGAAGAAAAGATCCAGAACAAAAATACCTACTGCTTACAAAAAGGTTCTTTAGTCTTGATTATAGTAAGCCTGTTTTTGCCTTTGCTTCTATTTAAATTTAGCTGCAAGAAATATAAGCTATAATCCATTATATTCCTTGAGTTCTTTTTTTTTCCTTTGTATCTTGTTTTATTTTGGTATTGTTTCTTATTTTGACTGTGTGTCCTTTGTGTAAGCCTTGCTCAGTCTGCATGATGTTAGTGTGTTCAGCCTGCTTTGTGTTGATGACTTCTTACATTTGAGTGTTTATCGTTGACAATTCTGTATAATAATTCAGATAAAATCAGATGGTGCTATTTGTGCAATATAATTAGAAAATCTTTTCAAAGGGTTCTTTTTGTGATTTGTAATTTTAGTTTATGAAACATTTACAACATAGAATGTTTGTTTTTCTTTTTGCTCCTGTTTATGTAGAAGTGGTACACCATCACCCAAACGGACATCTGTAGGTTCCAGGCCACCAGCAGTAAGAGGCAGCAGAGATCGTTTTACTGGGGAGTCATACACAGTGCTGGGTAGGATAAAAATAATAGTTTTTTATTATTTAATCTTAAAGGCATCATTGTCACACTGGTGGGCTTTCCACTCAGAGCTGGAGTAGTTGCCTATATAGCGAATGAACCTTTGCTGAAGCTTCTTCCTCTTGAAGCCTAATTACTTTGGCAGGTTTTCAAATAGTCTTATTATTGATGTATTTAAAACTCCACTTCATTTTACATAGCATTCCACATTATGCAGAACTCTTGAAGAGATAGTAAGGAGGAAAATTTCTGAAGCCTTTTAAACACAGAAAAATTAGTAATAAATAAACAAGTAAGTTATAGCAGATACTCTGCAATTAGTGTCTGTGTTAACATTCTGAATCAGATATTTTATGCCATTTTATGAAATAAGAAATAGGTTAAAAGCTATGTATGTGACTCATAAATAAGATCTAAGAGTCAAATTTACCTTTCTGATCTTTTGTAGGAGATACTGCTATTGAAAGCGGACAACATTATTGGGAGGTCAAGGCCCAGAAGGATTGTAAATCCTACAGTGTGGGAGTAGCATACAAGACTTTGGGGAAGTTTGACCAATTAGGAAAGACAAACACTAGTTGGTGTATCCATGTCAACAACTGGCTACAAAACACATTTGCAGCAAAGCATAATAATAAAGTCAAAGCCTTGGATATTACTGTTCCTGAAAGGATAGGTGTATTTTGTGATTTTGATGGGGGTAAGTTTACTGATTTTCTCTTAAGTCATTTTGTCATAGTCCCTTGTATTTCAATACTTTTCACTGGTAATCATCTATATAGAATTTCCATTAGTATTGTGGTAAGGGTGTTTCGACTCATTAGGATTTGATCACAATTTCAGCTCCAGAATTGACTGACAGGGCATGTGATATCTGCCTGCAGTTCTACAAAATACTCATCTATAATATACCAAATGAATCTGAAAGAAAAATTTTGCTAATTTTAGTCTTTAAAGCAATTAAATTTCTTTTGTCCATTTTAATTCCTTCTTATCTTGTTTTATTACTTGTAAAGAGTGGTCAAGTCACATTTTTCTAGCTGGAGTAGACCTTAGCAATTACTCAACATTTGTCACACGGTATAAAATCTTTTTCACACTATCTCTGCAGGTAGTTGCCACTTCTGTGCTTGAACTTTTTATGTGAAGCTTATTGTCTTAGAAGGCAGCCTGTTTCATTGCTGGATAGCACTTGGTCAAAAGGTTTTTCTTAAATTGACTCACTTTGTCTACCAATTACTTCTAAGACTGTTGCTCTTAAATTTTGTCATGTGAAGAAACACAGTTATGTTCTCTCATACACATTTACATGAAAATCCATATTCATTTAAAAATTGCTAACGGTTTTTTTTTTTGGCCATTTTTCCGAACTGTACATCCTCTGTGCCATTAGTTGTTCCTCTCATTTAATTTTCCCAAACCTTTATAATCTCCTATGGTTGTATATTATGTCAATATATTTCTTAAAGATGGGTTCTCAAAGTAGGACACACAACTTCTGACCATCATAGGACAGTGTTTTGGCAGCACATTTCTCTCACTGTGACTAAAAGCACTGTTGACCTTTATTGAGGTTGTAGCCACCTAATCCACTAGATCTTTTTTCATGGAGTTCCGTCAAATTGTTTTTTCCTTTTATATTAGGCAGTTTAGGGTGGTCTTTTGTTGTTTATAACTCAAATGAACAATGTTATATTTGCCCTCAAGTTTCATCATAATAGATTTGGCCAAGCTTTCCTTCCTCTTAAAATCATCTAAAAATCAACTTGATATTTATCTTTTGTGAAATTTCTTTAAGCTTTTTTAGGTATTTGATAAGTATCTTCTCTGTTGTCATTTAAACATTTCTAAAAATTTTGAAGACGACATACTATTTAACTAATGAGCAAAAGTAATCCTCTAGATGTTCTCTCCAATTTGACACTTTAATAAAACCCAATTTTTCCATTTTAAGCAACATTGTATAAATAATTCATGAGCTATCAACCTAGTTACTCAAAAAAGAAAAAAATGCATGTCAACTTGATTTATTTTTAATGATGACATGTCATTTTTGCTGTATTCTTTTTTACTTATTCACTTTGAATCAGATAAATAACATTCCTCAGGATAACTGGTAAATTTGTTGGCACACATTTTTTCCCTTTTTCAGCTACCAGGATAATACTTGCTTATCATCTTCTGTCTCCTTTCCCATACTTTGTGGTTCTTCACAGAGAGTAGTGATAAGTATAATTGTTAGCCTAGAGCACAGGATACAGGAGGGAGTTGTAATGTAGAGTGAGATCAGATTTTGAGGGCCTCGAAGAATAATAATAGGCTAGTCATTTTTAGTAGTTGAGGGAGGGGGGCTTGTGCACATTTTAGAAAACTACAGTCATAATGATAATCTAGTTTTAGAAATAATAAAGAGTAAATGGTCGAATGTGGAAGGGATTGCAAACAGATAGGGTAAGACTTTTCAGGAGACAGTCTTTAAGCAGTGTAGGCAGGACTATGTCTTTTTTGTTAAGTATTATGTCCTTATTGCCTGAAAAGTTGTTCTTACATTCTAAACCCATAATAAGTGTTTATTAAGTGATCAGTAGTAACAAGGGCCTGAGCAGTGGGGAAGCAAGAAGAATGGTCTTGATGGTATGAAAGTAGAATTCATAGGACTTGATAACTAAATATGGATTGGACGGAGAGACAAAGAAGAACTGAAGATGACTCTGAGGTTCCAGCCGGTGTAATCGAGAGGATGGTAGTGTCATCAGTATGATAGGGAGCAGAGTCCTAGGGAAAAATGAAATGCCTGTGGGACAACTATGTGACATGTCTGGCCAATATTTGGAAATTCAGAAGAGAGGTAGAACTGAAGCTAAATATTAGAGACAGCATCACACAGTGGCTATGGAAGATTGCCCAGAACAGTTAAACATTATTGCTCTGCTGTTCACTAACTTCGTGGTCATATATACGTTGCTTAATATTTTGAGGTAAAGCACCTAGTGCTTTAATAGTAGGATAAATATTAGTTTCGTTTCTTCTCTGGTGGCAGCTGATTTGTTAAGGGAGCATCGTAGCTAGAAAGAGAGCCTGGACAAACATCTACATTTAGAATAGGAGAAAAGGGGAAGATATCCTCAGGGTTATGATACAAACCAAGAGAACGATCATGAGAGAAGAATTTAATAATAACAGTTGTAAGGAGGCCATCAGGTTAGACAGTTAGGTGGTCAAAAAGTTATTTTAGTTGCACAATCATGTTGAAAGACTGCGAGAGAATTTTAAAAATTAAAGCCAAAGCAGTTAAACTATACTAAGATTTCAGAGACTGAAGTATGAGTATGGCTTCAAGTAGTTAGAAGACAAGGTTTAATAGAATAAACCTTAAATGATGATAGGATTGGGGTAGAGACTGCTTATAGTAAAAATGAGGAAGAAATACTCTTGGTTTTTACTGGGCTAAGAAAACCATTTGTTAAATAACGATAGAATAGTTTATAGTTGAGTAAGTAGAGTACTGCCAGATTATGGAAGCACTGTGGAGATCTTCAAACTCAGGGAAAGAAAACTGGATTTGGGCTTTTTCTTAAGCATGTTTTCTACTCATTTTCAAGTGAGAATTACTAAGTCCAGTCATTATAGTTTGTAACAAAAAAATGTCAAAATAGGCATGTAGTTACTAGTTTTATGCATGATTATACGTTAGACTTAATTAGATGTTACAGTATTTTGAATAATAAATCAGGCTTCTTTTTTCTTTTTTTAGGTCAACTTTCTTTCTATGATGCAAACTCAAAACAGTTGTTGTATTCCTTTAAGACAAAATTTACTCAGCCAGTATTACCTGGTTTCATGGTTAGTACCTAATTTGTTTTATTTGGTTTGACAGCTTTAAGAATAACCTGTGCTGTATATTTAGGGAAGCAAAATATCTTCCTTTTTCTTCTCTCCCTTTCACACTAGTCCACTTATCCCAAATCTGTGATTACCTGTATATTTTTGATATACTTTATTGAAGTAAATGAAAATACATAAAAGTATGTACACCGTAAGCATACAGTTTGATGAATCTCCATAGCACTGCACTTACTTTTGAAACCAGCATCTAGATCAAAAATGCAACATTACCAGACTCTTATAGCCGCCTTTGTGCCCATTTCCAGCCACTACTGGCCCTCCTCCAAAGTGGTTCTATCTTGAGTTTTAATACCATAAACTTATTTTGCCTCCTTTTCAGTTTTGTGTAAATGGAATCATATCTTTTTGGCTTAATATTAAGTTTGTGAGATTTATCCAAGTTTTTCTATGTGGTGGTGATTCATTCAATTTCATATAGTTTTCCATTATATGACTCTGTCATAATTATATCCATTGTAATTTAGTTGGTACTGGGGACATTTTCAAATAGAACTGCTGTGAATATTTTTGTTTATGTCTTTTGGTAGGTGTGTGTGTATAATCAATTGTATTAGTTTTCTAAAGTTGTTCCTTATACTGATTTGCCACCAGCAGTATATGAGAGTTTGAATTTCTCCACATCTTTTTTTTCAGAGAAGAGGCATTAAAGATTCATCCCATAAGTTTATTTACAAACATATCTAGTATGTTGAGTTCAACAGTTTGATCCATTTTTCAAGGGGACTGCACCTCTTAAAATGCTCTTCACATGTGTTTCATGGATTAACTAAAACATCTTTCATTCTTAAGCAGTTGGTGTCTTACTATAAAGCAAGGTGCAGCAAATCCAGCCCCAAAGTACAAAGTCATCGTAGCTAGCAGCTGCCACTTATTCCACTAAAAATGGCAAATTCTTCCCCGGGCCCTCCTCATAGTGTCTCCTACAGACCACTGAGGTTGTGATTCCTGGATGCTCTGTCCCCACATGGCGCTGTTGGAAGTCATGCGGAAGGCGCAGGGACCACAGGGAACACAGGGACCGAAAGCTGAGGAAATGGCGGTAGCACACCAAGTCCTTTTTCCACGACCTCGTTCCCCTGCGTGCAAGGACTGAAAGAGCCCTCCACATCTTTGTTACCACTTGATATTGTCCTTTTTTATTTTGGCCCTCATAGTCTTATAGTCTTTTTTTATTTTAGTCCTTCTACTCCTTAGATATATTACATTGTGCTTTTCATTTGCATTTTCTTGGTCACTGTTGAACACCTTGTTATATGTTTATTAACTATTTGAGTACACCCTTTTGTGAAATGGTTGTTCAAGTATTTTGCCTGTATTCCTATTTGATTTTCTTCCTATTTCTTATTGATTGATTGGAGTTCTTTATATAGTCTGAGTCCTTTGCCAGGTATATGTATTGCAAATCTTTCCTTTTCTCTCTCTTGTTAGTGTCTTTTGATGAGCAAAAGTTGTTAATTTTAATGTTGCTCAATTTATCACTTTATTCATTTATGGTTAACACTTTTTGTATTCTGTTTAAGGAATCTTTATTCATGCTAAGATCATAAAAAATATTCCTGTGTTTTAAAAGCTGCTTCTTGCATTTACAGTACAAGTACAATGTAGAATTAATGTTTGGTATGAAGTTGGGGTCAAGATACAGTCTTTAATTCCATATGGATATTCACTTATTTCAAGACCATTTATTAAGATCATCCTTTTTCCATTGCAGTGCAGTGTCATCTTTGTAAAATATTAGATGACTGTCTATGTGTAGGAGGCAGATTATATACGTATCTATACACATAGATATCATTTCAGGGCTATTCAATTTCAGGTTTATTTGTATAAGAAAAAGTCATGCTTCTCCATACAAAATGAAACTTGGTTTTCAAATTTTTTTTTTTTTTGAGCAAGTATTACTGCTTCTCTCAACTCTTTTATCTTTTGCATTTCTCTATAAGGTTTGGCTACTGGGAGGAGTTCTGCTATCCAGTTAAGATCATCATTATTATGGCTAGAACATTCTTTAATTTGGGGTCTGTGTCTCATAAACTCATTCACATTATGGTAATTAATAGAATATAGCAAGTGTATCTGGATTTTTGCATTTGCGTTTTTCTTAGAAGTCCTTAAAAATTCTTATTGTTGAGTTAGGGAAGCAGCTATTGGGGTCTGAGGTTCCTATAGTCCTCAGGTTACACCTCATCAAAATCCAGAGCAGTAACTGGGATAAGGAAGTTGGCTGTGTACACTTCTCTTGCTTGTTGTGAAAGTTAGCATCAGTAATGATAGCCAATGTCTATTGCCTAGGGTAATCCAATTTACCTTCTAAGTTTCTGCAGCCCTTAGTTCCCTCTCATGTGCAGCTCCAGTAGATTCTGCCACCACAAAGACTCCCTTTGGCCTCTGCGATTCTAAGAGTTAGCCTTCCCACTTCCTCTCAATTCAAATATGAAGATTATCAGTTTGGAACTTGGCAGTGTTCACATATGTGTCAATTTGCCTTTCAAATGAAAATTTAAGGCTCACTTAAGTTTTGATTTGATTTGAAATCTGACTGAAGCTTTGTTTTTGTCTTTTCTTAGGTTTGGTGTGGTGGACTTTCTTTGAGTACTGGGATGCAGGTTCCAAGTGCTGTGAGAACACTTCAGAAAAGTGAAAATGGAATGACTGGGTCAGCTAGCAGCCTAAACATTGTTACTCAGTAATGCCTATTTAGAATGTTTACCTGCAGTGGTGGGAAGGAGATTTGCTGTGTTCTGCTTTAAGGCCTGGAATCCGTTAGCATTAAGCATCTACTACAAAGTATTCACAGGAATCTACTGTGCAATATCATAGAAGCAAGCAGATATCAAGCAAGAAACTGATATTTTAAAGAGCAAATGGGAAAAAAAGGCAGTGTTTAAATAATTATATAGAAACTCATTTTTGTGTTTTCTTGGATTAATTTGGCTTTTCTCGTATGTTTAGTTACATGCAGTAATCCTAGGGCCTGAAGAAAAAGCATTTAAATCTCGCCTTCTTTCCTTTATACTTTCTCTTTTTTTTCCTCATCACTACCTATTATTTAGTTCTTAAACTGAAGCTTTAAAAAAACACAGTCCTCTGAGGTTTTCTAAAAATTGAAATAATTGGTTGGGATGCTAGACAGGTTTTCTTACAGTGGTTTATTTCCCCCCTTTTATCAATAAGTTGAGTTTTGCTAAATTATCCTCGTTTTATTGACTAGATTGTGTATCATTTTCTTTTTTCCATACATCATGGTATTTCTCTTGCGGCTATAACTCAAAATAGAGAGTGAATAGGAAGAGTTTCTAGACATAATAGCTTAAAATCACCCAAATTTCAGTTTTTTACCTGCTGCACTAACATTGGCAAAGGGATAATCTTTATATGTTGCCCTATTTAATTAGACTTCTTTTTATTCCATCATTGGATGATGGGTAAAATTTTTAAAAGCTTTCTATTTTCTGGTTTTGTTATCTAGTTTAGTACTACCTTTAATAGTTATCGGTACAATTTCCACTTGTTTTTGGTAATAACTGATAATGCTTATACTGATTTTTTAACATTTCTAATAGGAATGAAAGTTTATTGAAGTTATATAGAAGGTAGAAAAACCTACACTACTCAAGTTTTATCTAAGAAGGATGAAGCTATAAGGGGAGATGCCTAAAACTTTTCTTTACTGAAGTCATTTATATCTGCTTTTTGATAAGGAATGGTTTAAACAAATGTTTTGAAGAAAAATATATCTGTCAGACTTACTCGGCACATGAGTTTTTCAGTTGCAACCACAGGTTATTTTTCTCTCAGTCCTTTTGCTACATTCATTTCCTTTCTAAAGGGGTGAAATTCTTCCAAAGATCAACATAGAATCTTTGCTAAAGTTATTGAAAATATGTTAACATGGTTATTGAGAACATACCTATTTTTTAAAAGTTGATTAAAATTTGTAATAAAAGTCCTTTGAGCCAAACTGAAAGTTGTGATTAGAGTAGCATTTAAGAATTCCTTGAGTGTTTTAAAGAGGTCTGAATTTATATGTTCTTTAATTTTTGAAGTTTTTACTTTCTCTTTTTGATTTATTTTCATTCTAAGTATATTATGCTATGAGATCCTTCTTCCAAGAAGTAACCAACACTGCTTACATTGGAGTTGCTTTTTACAGAAAGGCCTGTGGAATAGGAATAGTTCATTCTTTCTTAAAGTTTACTGCTTACTGATAGGATGTTTTGTTCATTTTAAAACACATCTAAGTGAGGAATTTTATTTGAATTGGGTCTTATTTTTCCAGAGGACAGTCATATCTGCACCATTGTCTGAGGACATATTAGTCATTTTAAAGACTGTAAGGGTGTTTAGAGAATGAAATATGTCAATAGATACTCTTTTGATTCTCTAAACAAATATGATTTTGGTTTTTGTTCCTCCCGAGATTTTGAAAAATATTTTTGGATGTTCTGTTCCCTACAACAGGGTTATTCCAGGACCTACAGAAACAGGAAGTTATAAATCTCTTTCATAGAGTCAAACCTGAAAGCAGTAATTTAGTGGTGGAGCTGCTTCATGTGAACAGTTATATATGTATATTATAACAAAAATTACACAGAAAAAGCCAGAAATTCTTACATAAAATTTTTTACTATTATGTCTTATATAATTGTATCTTCTCTTTAATTCAGTGCCTTCTTCCTCTAAGCATGCTCTTGCTTCATGCTCCGTGCCCTATGCAGTGTCAGCTGATATTTGAGCCAGAAACCATCGTGTTATACTGGTGAGGGCCTTCTATTGCAGGGGCATGGGGAACAAGAAATACTAATCAGGGGCTGGTGAAGTGCATATGATTCTTTCCTGGCTCATGCTATCATTTGAAACCCTTCATATAAAATTTTCTAATATTCGTTTGGAAAATTCATTGGAAGTAATACTGTTATTACTTCAATATGAGAATCTGAGGTTTTCCTCTTACTGCGCTTCTTCTTAAAGGTCTCTAAAAAAAAAAGAGTAAAATGTGTGGGATTTTAGGTTTAGTTGTTTTAAGTTTATTTGTATTAAGTTAAACGAGAAAGTTTGCCACCTTCATTTCAAACTAGAAAATAAAAAACTAGTGCCTATTTAAATAGTCTCAAGGTAACTCTTAACTTGATCATATATATAACATTCTCATTGACATTTAAATTTAAAAATATTGGGCTCTTTTGCTCGATTTATACATTAAAAAGTTGGCATACCCTTTCAGACATTCTTTATTGGTTTATTTACTCTTTGTTTTGACAGGTGAAAACATAATTGCTTTCTGTAAAAGAAATGCATGAGAGGTTGACAGTAATGGATGTATTGTAGGTCTAAAAAGTTACATTTTATAAAAACATGCACTTAGTATTGCATTTCTCTTTTGCAGTTGAATCTCAAATCAGTTTTAGTAAACTAGATAAAGAAATGAAGGAATTGCCTTAAGCACTTTAGAAAAATAATTTTTTTACAATTCGTTTTGATTCTTTGGGCTGCCCATTTCACTTTTACTAACTTTTGGTAAATATGTATGTATATACCAAGCATTTAGCAACAGTGCACATAGAAATTTAATATACAGTGATTCTTTGAGTGTTCCAAGTGTGGTAAACAAATGGAAAGTATTAAAGGCATGCCTGTCTGTATGTGGGTTTAATCGATGGCATCTGTACCATTTTGACAAACCGTGAACTGCTACTGTACAGCTAGACTTGGCCTGCTTTGTTTTGAGAACAGTAATTTTTTCCTGTGTTATCATCCAAAGAGATATATTGGCTTGGTTTTATTTGCTCATTTATGAAATTAAAGCATGAACAGTATCATGTATAATTTGAATTTTTGTGACTGATCCTCGATGGTATAAATAATAAAAGTAAATAATTTGTCATGAAATCTTTTAATTAGGCTGATACTCTGTTTCATGACTTACCTAGAATGATTAGTTCTTCTCTATACTTTTTACATAAAATTATAGTTATATATTTTTAATTGTTTCTTTTGGAAACAGGTTAAAAATTAGAAAAGGATATTATAGAAAGTGATTATTTCAAAGTATTAATTTGAGGACAGTATAGACTTTTTACTGAAAATATGTGGTTCCAGGCTAAAAAAAGTAAGGACTGTATTTTCAAATCATAATAATTCTTTTCAAAAAACCTATATTTGTTAGTGTTCATTCATTAGCTAATTTATACAACAGATATTTTAAGTATCTGTGATGTGGCTGTCATACTTTGTATTCACATCTCCAAAATTAATGGTTTGATTTATTGTGCATATAGTTTTGCTGCTCGAGTGGTGTGACAAAGTTTGCATCTTCAAAACAATGTTTTGCTAGTAAGTCAAATTTTAAAAAGTAAATTTGTTATAGTTTGTAAAAAAAATTGAATTTTAATAAGTATATTGCACATAATATGGTTCACTTTTATGTAGTCACATAAAATGAGTCTGGAAAAGTTTCTTTATTTTTACGCTGGATATATTCTTTTAGGGATGTGTACAGTCAGCATAAATTTACTCAACATCCAAGTAACCATGAAGTTATTTGTTATTTTTAACCAAAATGCACATTTCATAATGTCAGTACTGGAGCATTATAAGAGATCATGAATGTTCTTTAATCATTACAGAACGATTACCTCATGTTCAGTATAGTTTTCTTTGTATCTTACAGTATTCATATATGCCAATATGTGTGATCCTGATATGTCACTTGTGATAGCTTTGTTCCTTGGCATATTTGATTAATGTAAATACTTTAAGCTTTTTTAGTAATTTGGAGTTTAAATGGATTACATTTAGTATATGTTGTTTTTGTTGAAAAGATGTTGTTAGACATGCCATACAAAAGTTAGTATTGGCTTATAAATTCCAGAAATTGCTATATACTTTTTTCTTCTGACTACCCAGTTATTAAAACAGTATTTGTTATTGACTTTTGATTCATAACTATTTGAGCTATGTTAGTTTAAACTGATAAATTTTCTTAATGGTACCCATTCAATATAAGTTGGTCCTTGGGAATGGACATGTAGAGGATTTCACAGTATGTAGGGGAGAAGGTAGGTGAATGTGTTTGCTTTGGCTTGGAGCTTCTTAAGATTAGACAGATTTTAAAATAAGTTAAAATGTAAGTGATTGGTAAAAGGCCTTTCTCATTAGTATTGGAACTTTTTGGAGAGCCTCGGCTATAAGAATGCATTTTTAAAAACATTTCTATTATCTCTAAGGTACCAAAGCGCTGAGTCTAATTTACCTCCTAAAGGAGACTCTTTAAAATCAAATTTATAACTAATCCATACTATAAGATATATAATAACTAAAGTTTTAGAGTAATTTATATTAAAAACCACTAGTCTTTAAAATTTCTGGATAAATATAAAAATATTTTGGCTTCATTTCTTTTAAAGTATTTAGAATTTATCACCTTAACTCTGCCATATACTAGATCTATGACCTCTGCATAAATCATTTATCACCTTTGGGCCTCTACTGCCTTACATAAAATAATTGTAATTTGCTCAGCCTACCTCACAGGGCTGTTGTGAGGAATAAAATGAAATGGATTTTATGAAGTGGCTTCAGTAACAGTAAAATGTTATGTAAATGTAAGGTATTAGTTTTGGTTAATAATGGGTTTAAACATTTAGATACTTCTAGATGACATTTACTGTGATAAAGCATGTGCTTAAAGTGGTAAAACCAGGACTTCAAATGTGATTTAAAAAAACAAAAAACCCAGATTAAAAAGCCCTTTAGTTTGTGCATGACTTGTGGCAATTTTGTATTTTCTCATCAAGCCTGTCATTCTATGTCAAGACTTTCTAGAAATGTAAAATTTCTTCCACAGTATTAGTGTGTCACTGTACAATAGTAGCATTAATAAATGATTTAAGGTATGTTTCCATCCAGGCATTTGCACTTTGAATTTATCTCTGCTCAGTGCCACATGCAAAGAATAAATTTGGCCTAAATCTTTCCAAACTACCAAATGGTTAAAGTTTGTTGTCATTAGATAGATGATATAAGGTATATACCATTTAACATTTGACAACTTTTGTTGCATTGTCATTTAAAAAATAGGAAGCATTTCAAAACCTTTTTAATCTGGATTTCATTTAGTATCTCTACTAACATACTTGTCTTGCTTTAAATTGGATTTATTAAGTGGTTTACAGGTTCTCTTGATCTACAGATTATTGATATGTCTATCATCTCGACATTGTTTTGCTATGCAGTTCTGACAATAAAAATTCTTAATTCCTCAGGTTTAAACTTTTAAGTTATGGATGAAGAACATTAATGAACTACTTATAATGTACTGTGCTGCAAACTAGTGTTTTGATAAACATATTGCCTCATTTTTCTCGGAAACAAGACAAAGCCTTTTAAATGGTTTTTAACTTTAAAATAGTGTATTCAAAGTAGGGTAACTTGTATGTTGAAATGATTGCTCTGTATAGGATGACCAAGTTAAATTCTTAAAAAAGCACCTCGAATATCTCACCTAAAAATTAAAACTTTTCTGCTTTCTTTTGCTTCAGTGCCTTGTATTTTATCAACTCTCATTACAATCTAAAATGTGCTTTGAAAATGACGAGATTAAGAAAGTCATAGTCCCTTTGCCCCCAAAGTTTATATTTTAGAGCAGTGCTATTCAACAGAATTTTATGCAATGATGGAAAGTTCTATGTAGCTGCCATTTTGTACATTCAGCTATAGATGGAAGATGAAAC